CTCAAACCCGAACACCACACTACCCTCTCTTCCCCCAGTAACAGGTGGGCTATCAGACACGGCTCTTCCACCTGATTCCTTTATCATTTGTTTGCATCAGCGGCGTAACTTTAGTCAATTTGTTACTAATTGTTACGCTGCCCGCGAGTTTTATTTTGGGAATGAGGTGGGGGTGGGGGGGGGGGGGGGGGCTAAAATGTGTAAATTTTGAGGAAAATTATTGTTTTGGACTGTGTTTATAAAATAGACATCTCTATATGATTTTTATATCGAAGACAATCAACATATGTGTACCTATTAAGTTGTTTAAGTACTAATGATCAGTAAAATAGCACGCGTGACTTATATTTATTTTTTTGCTCCGATTCCTAGGTTTTCTTAAAAACAGACATTTCAGCTTTAGGCGTTTAGCTGATCAAATTAATGTAGTTTTTTTTACTCTATCGTTAACTATTTCTTTCAGACTTTTTCTCCGGGGGTCACTTGAAACTTGGGGGGGGGGGGGGGGGGGGGGGCGGACACTGGTAGAAGTAAATTTTTCTAGATAAATTATATTTTGTTCGGAGGGGTGTGCGCTTCGGGAAGGGACAAGGGGGCCTGAAAGAAACACTGATAGTAGGTATACGCCGTGTTTACACAGAAACGTAAATTTGATGCAAACGGTAGCCTATATTCGAAAATAGTTATCATCACGCATTGCTTTAGTTTAGCGAAGGGGTAAAAAAAAATGTTGGCTAACTAGATACTATTTCTAATCCCTAAATAGGTATGACAGCTGGTGTGTTCATTTTTCTTTATGTTTTATTCAGAAAAAAAACCTCATCAAACTATTCCATCAACATAATTCGCAATAACGTATGCCGTTTCCTTTCCGGTTACCATTTTTAATGGCAATCGGACAGGTTTACGAGACAAACCTATAACTGCAACAAATACCTGGCTAGTTCAGATTTCAAAATAGTCTCTCTCAATCTATACTGTAAAACTTTGAAAGAGCTGTTAAAATTTAAAAAAATGAATTAAAAAAGTATCGGACCAAATAAACCTTTCATTTTATTACTTCATCAAACGTATTGATCCCGTATTATTTTCATTGATACCCTCCCCCGTCTCCCATGTAAAAATCGTTATTATTTGTGGTTATTTCCCTTGAATTAGGTCCCCTTACGTAGTTTTTTGTATTGATTTTCTGTAAGCTTGCCCCTGTTAACATGTTTTTGTCCACGTAGATACTCACATATCAATGTGTCAATTCCCCTCTAACACGCCACGTGCATATAGGATACAGAGTTTTATGAAACAATGAGGTTCTACCACAGCTTTGCGTTCAGAGTCTTTCCCCGGCACCTCTTTGCTCCCACCTCCCCAGTCCGTCCCCCCCCCCCCCTGGACATTTTAGTCCACCCCCCCCCCCCCCATAAATTTGAACATTTCAAGTGCCCCTCCCCCCCGAGAAAAAAATTCTGGAAGAAACACTGATTGCAGATTGCGTATTTATACCTTTCATGATCTACAAGATTGCCCCCCCCCCCCACCTCCCCATTACATCATCTTAGCGAGATCTTACCACCACTTAAAATATTAATGACTTAATGACTTAAAACGTAAACCTTGAATGCTTGATGTTACAAAACGATGACAAAAACAAATCAGAATCGCTTGATGTGAAACTGCCTCGTTTAAAATGTCATTACGTTATAGTTTAATAAAGTATGTGCTCAGTAATTTAAAGTCGGTTAAAACACATATTTTTAAGTGAAACTATTTATGTATGAGCTGTTTACAATGTAGCACCATTATATGTGGTGGGGGTCAATGTACCCTCTAAGGGGGAAAAGCTAATGTGCAAAATGTATTTTCTGTGCGCAGTGTTCTAAAAGTCTTATACAATGATATATTTATTTTACAAAATCCCCGCGCGGCAGTTCAAAACTGCTGCGCGGCCGCGCAACCGCGCAGCTTAGAGGGGAAATTGGTGGGGGTGGTAAAATGGAACATTATATGTTGTGTATATATATATATATATATATATATATATATATATATATATATATATATATATATATATATATATATATATATATATATATATATATATATATATATATATATATATATATATATTGAAGCCAATCAGTGAGTCGAACGACCCTGAGACCAACCAACTCTGATGGGTACCGAACTCACGTTAGGGAAAGTAAAGGGCATAGTGCTGACCACACTACAGTCTTACATGCCGTGGTCAAGAAACAGATGAACTCTACTTCATCTGCTCTATGGATCATTAGGTCCGAAGGGGAAACTTTACTTTTTGTAAAAAAAAAACAATTAAATGTCCTGTCCCCATCTTTAACAATCTCTATTAACCATTACTTTGACCAAAACACCCAAAACAATAGCTATAACGCATTTGAAAATTTTACTGCAAAATCTCTGGGACCTCCTACGTTCAGGTACCAATTAGAACTGAGTGGACTCAGTGACGTCCTACGTTCAGGTACCCATTAGAACTGAGTGGACTCAGTGACGTCCTACGGTCAGGTACCCATTAGAACTGAGTGGACTCAGTGACGTCCTATGGTCAGGTATCCATCAGAGCTGGGTGGACCAAGGGATGCCGTACAGACTAGAGACCAAATATTTTCGTTTTAACAATCTTGCTCTGCCATATTATCATACAAAACATTTTACACTTGAGAAAATCCACAGATTTTGTTTTTGTGCACGCATGTAGGCCCTATGTTAAAGAATTATAACCTGTTCTAAATTAAATCGTGCTGAATAACAATACAGAAGCAGGTGCTATACATGTATGGATTACAAATTCAATGACGACAACCTTTCAATTAATGAAACATTCCATGATTTGTTCCATAACAATACTACTGGTGGGATAATTATTTGTTTGTTCTGGATACCTTGTATAAAGGTGGTTTAAAGGCAAAGAATGAAATAATAAATCTTTCCAAATGAACGCTTTCTGTTCTTTAAATTACATACTGGTCATAGAACATAGGATATATAGCAATCAGAGGTAGAACAATATGATATAGAACATAGAACGATTGGAGGTAGAACAAAATGACATAGAACAAAATATGATATTGAGAATCACGTAATGTAGTAACATGTGTCTTGTTTGGTTCTAGCTCATTTTGATTTAATTAAACCTGCAATTAAAAAAATGTTATTTTAATAAACAGTATACATTTTAGTTAACAGTATACATTAAATCCATTGTTATGATATGGGCTCACTGAGCTGGTAAAATATTAACAATTTCTAGTTATAAGGTAGAAATATAAATCTAGTCTCGTCCTGAATACATGACACACCATGATCCAGCGCCACCCCCCCCCCAAATACTTCTGAAACGGCTTCCATTTCCAATTTTTCTAATAACATGTCATCCAGTGTTTCTTTCAGACATTTTTCTTTGAGGGAGGGAGTGATACTTGAAAAGTTCGGAGGAGGGGGCGAAGTTAAATTCAGTGTTTCTTCCAGACTTTTTTCTCCGGGGGGGCACTTGAAATCTTCGGGGGGGGGGGGCGGTAAACTTTCTTCGGGGGGGCGGACACTGTTAAAAGTATATATTTTCTATATAAATTATATAAATTTCATTTCGTTCGGGGGGGGGGGGGCGGTAAAAATTTTTTGGCGGGGCTTTCCCCCCCCCCCCCCCCCCCCGAAGAGATGCCTGGAAGAAACTCTGGTTAAATTTCCAGGAGAGGGCGGACACTGGTAAAATATTTTTTTTTTCCTATTTGAATTATAAGGACGTTCGACGGAGTAATGGGGGGGGGGGAGTGTATCCCAACAAGATGCCTGAAAGAAACTCTGCTATATTTGGAGATGGTGTTTGGACTTAGTTTGAAAAGATTCCAGTGATTGTGTGGGTAGAAGTGATGGTTCCATCATTCACTGCCGTACTGTTGCCATTTGTCATGCTGTAACAACAACACATTGGCTACAGGCCTACGACACCAGGAAGACTTACAAAATAAAGCAACAAATTAACTGGGTTTAAAGGTCACGACTTAACTTGTGCTTGATCATGTTCGATTTGTTGGCTCGGATCACGACCTTGAGGTTGACCCAGTTTCGTGTGCTCAAGCTGTGGTTCAAAGTTCACACCATCCAATGATGTTTTCGGATCGGTATGTGGTTATACATCATGTGCTAAAGTTAGAGCGTTACATCATGTGCTACATAGTGTAATACATCATGACATTTATTAGTATAATACACTGTGTGCTGAGGTTAGTGTTATATATCATGAGCTAACATTTTAAGTTTGTGTAATACACGGTGTGCAAATGTTAGTGTAATAATAATACATGATGTGTTAATGTTAGTGATATAATAATACATGATGTATAATGTGTTAATGTTTGTGTAATACACAATGTTCTAAAGCTTGTGTAGCCCATCATACATTGATGTTCATGTTAAGTCTTTATGTGTCAATTGCTAATGGCAGTTTTAAATAATGTGTTCAAGCTCTGTCGAAACATACTTGGTTAGCCTAATTAATAAGCCAAAACTGTGACGTCACACATTCTGACTCCTCACACTTCGTGACCTCGTCACAAAAGTACGAATCCTCTCACTTCTATGTGGATGACGTCATGGATGGTCCACGTTTGTCTGTTGCCTTGACCTGCACAGTTCATGTTTTCTGAATGTTTGCACGCTTCATATTTGAGCTTTATATTTATATGCTTCACGAAAAGATTATGAAGATAACCAATTAAACAACTTTTAGTTTATAAGTTAACCAAACACGACCACATTTTATATCACGCTAAAGAACTAATGTGGCTAATCGTTAATAAATCTAACATGGCAGAGCTAAAGAAACGATTAAGACCAGGTAGTTTATATAGGCGTACATACTGACGACCGACAGGAGTTTAAATAATAATAATAATTATTATTATTAAGCGAATGTTTTGTGCGGCAATGATGTTTTTGAACTGCTGACTCTGTCACCTATTACTTAAGGAAACGCATCTATCAACATTTCAACAAAAACAAAAAATAACCCAATTGTGACTAATTCCTTGGAACATTTAAAAATGACGTTAGATTTAGCACTCTAACTAAAATAAAATTGATTATACCTAAAAAAAAAATGCCACATTATTTTATAATGAATTTAACTTTATTAGGTATTTGTGGTAAGAAATAGCCGCCCATTTCGAAGTCATGGGGGACAGTGACAACGAAAATGTGGGAGGAGCCCCACTTCCTCCTGCTAGAAATAGGACCAAACCTACCGTTATAAGACCGGTATCCAAAGCACCAACAGGTAGATTCAGATACATTCTAGATTAGATCTAGATATATATTCTTAAGTTGTGATGAAGTCAAAGTTTTAAGTCATCAATCTTATTCTGTGATGTTGCAGTTCGCCAGTTCGCTGATTTTCTGTCCTCTTTCACTCTGGCTACCTACAGGCCTAGGGCCTAGCAGGCTAAACCAGCCAAATGATTTATTGATAGTTTAATTTAATAGGACCTTATTACTAATAAAATAAATAATATTCATAAAATATTAGGCCTACTCAATTTATACTTTACTAGTCTTTAGTTTGTTATTTAAAATTATTTTAATAATAGTTGTTAGAAGACTTGTCTAGTCAAGTCACGTATTTGAATTGGGCTCTATTATGTACCCAGCTTCATCTTTGGGGAGGGGAAGGGTGGGGGAAAGGTTCAAACTGTGATGAATGAAAATACAGCTGGTCTCAGTAAATCTTGTTATTATTTTAATGCAAGACTATAAAGTACACAAAATAAATGATGTCCATTCTGTACTATTTAAGATTGGCAAACTTACATTAGAAATAGGGCCTACAGATTTTTTGTGGAAAGTTCTTGCACTTGAATTAAAAACTAAATCAATTTCCTGATTTTTTATATATATTGGCTTATACAGTTTAAAAAATTAGATTTGGATTTTTGAAAACACTTGGTATAAAGAAGCTTTGCTCTAAGAAAAATATTTTTAGTTTGCCTTCATGTAAAAGTGTAAAAATATAACCTTCATACTATAGTAAATTTCATGAAATGCTATCAGTTCAAATATTATGTAAAATGTATACTTGTGCTGTATCTTAAGATGGTAATAATGACAAACCAGCCACACAAGCACCACAGCGCCCAGCACCACCTGTGGCTCGACCCCCGCCCCCTGTCCAAAGACCAAGTGATCCTGTCAAAACTGTCAAAACAGGTAACCATTTTTTTGATAGTGCGTTTAGTTGTCTTGTTTTTTTCAGTTGATAGGTAATTAGCCTGCATATTATTTTGGATACATGGGGAATTTTTTCCTTTCTCTAATATTGTACTAGAAAGTATCAACTAAGCATAACATAAAGTAAGTATTTTCCCCTTGAGATCTGATGATCCATAGTACAGATGAAGTAGAGTTCATCTGTTTCTTGACCCCAGCATTTGAAGTGATGGTGTGCTCTGCTCTTTATTTTCCCTAATGTGTGTCAAGTAACTATCAGAGCTGGTTGAACTCAGGGACATTCTCCAGGTGACTTTAGGTTAGAAGTCATGAGCTCTACCACCCGACCACACTGTCCCATAATTATATCATAAAGAGGCCGATAAATTAATTTTCCCCCATAATCTTAATTGTTCCATCTAGAATGTTGTTCAATGTTTTTACAATTGTTTGACAGAGCCTGAACACCAACCAACATTACCTTCAGGAAATGGATCTAGAAATTCTGTTAAAGTTAAACCATCAGTTGCTGCTACAGGAAAAAGGTTTGATATGTTTTTTTCCCCTCTCTTCAAGATGAAATTTTCTTCACTTAACTTTCAAATTCTCAAGTGGCTGTTATGACTAATACTGATGACACATTGTATAGACAAAAAAGAAAAGTTTTGAAAGCTTTATATAAAAGAGGTTTCAGCTTTCTCTGTCATTAACTTATCAAAACTACAACACTGGTAAAGAGTTAAAAAATAATAATTATTGAATGGGATTACATGTAGTTTTAATTTTATATATAACTTTTGTATTTCCTTTGTGATTATAAATAATTATAAACTTCTTTTAATTCATGTATGCAGATTTCAGGAACATATAAAAAAAACTTCCTTTTGCTGCGTGGCTCTTAATACTTTGATAAATCTAGTTATTTCAGAAATTGAGCCAAATTGTTGATTTTGAGTGATTTATTGTATGCTGAATTATGTTAATTTTTACACAGTTTTAGTGAATACTTAAAGGTGTTTAGGTGTTTTCTTTCTTATCACCCAATATAATTTACAGGAAATTGGAAATCACTGTTGTGGATGCTCGTCCAATGAGTGAAATAGGATTTCGAGACCTAAAAGGTGGAGGCACTGTTTCCACACCAGTGTCTGCTGCCACTACTGGAACAGGAAGTGATGCAATTAAAGCTGTGAATTCTGGTAAAGTTACTAAAATATATTTTATTTAAATAAGACAGCAAACAATGTATTATTTAGTTTTTAAAATTCTTTTAGGACTTTGAATCAATTTGAAAAAGTTTTCCAGTTTTAACATATAATTTAGACATTGATACATTTAGAAATGTGTGTTTAGTTTGTAAATTTTAAGTGAAATGATTATCAGAGTATTGAGTTTGTAAATTCCAAGTGAAATGATTATTAGAGTATTAAGTTTGTAAATTCCAAGTGAAATGATTATTAGAGTAAAATGTTTCCGATTTGATGCCAACCTTGTTAGATGCCCCGGTGGCTCCTCCATGTGAGAGGGTTGCCCCACCCAAACCACAGCGACCTGCAATGTATAAGCCACAGCAGCAAGCCCAAGGTAACCATGGCAACACTGCATGCTGGCAGCATATATATCCTGTCAAAATTAAATTTGGCTTTCTTTGACTATCTGGCATGCATTATCTCTTTAGATGGAAGTATGTCATGTTATTTTCATCATGACCAATTTTTAACTGCTGCTTTTTCATTAACATTGCTACCTGCATTTGTTTGTTAACAGCCTTATATTAAGGAATGTAAACATTTCGACATAAACAAATTAGTAATGCATGTTTGAAATGCTTTTTTGGATGTATACTAATTATATTTGAAAACTCAATTTTCAGGGACTAATTCAAAAGATCAAATATTATTTTAATGATATGACAATAATATCTTGAAGGCATGAGAACTAGATATGGGTTTTTGAGAGAAATTTGATGATAGTATTGAACAAGCTTGATGTAACTGTAGTTTTAATTTGAGGATCAAGATTTGCATGAAAAAAACTTTTTAAATGCATTAGCACAAAATTATATTAAATTTAAAAAATGTACAAAAAAATGTATCATAAGGGTATAGACTTTTTTATAAGTGAAAAGTATTATTCTTTCAGGGACAGGCAACTCTCCACATAATGATGACCCAGTTCCTCCCCCTAAGCCAGCCAGACCTTCCATGATTATTCCAGCCAGTAGCCAGCCGGAGGACACCAAAGCGCTGGACGCTAATGCCAATCTCTCAGCTGTGCCACCCAGACCTGCGCGGCCCACGATTATACGACCACAGTCAAACGTACAGACAACACCAGGCTAGTGTTTCACATTAAAATTTGTTTTTCTGTGAACGTAGGGCCATACGTGATCTCTAGTTACACATGGCTCTCTACAACTATTCTATACGGTTGTATGGGGCTCAAGCATATCATAACTAATTTTACATTGGTACAGAATGAAAAATCTTTAAACTGCTGCTTAGAAATCAAAACACTGAAACCAAAGAATTGCCAGATTTAAAAAGCTTTTCCGATTAGTCATATAAATCAATTTTTTTAATAGTTAATAGTTATAATTACTTAGATAATAATTTTTATTTTCTAGTTATTAAATGTTGGTTAGTTGTCAAAAAAAATATTATAGCATAGACTTTATTAACTTAAGTGTTTAGACCAAAAGATGTTTCAAGAACAGTTAGTCTAAAAATAAAATTGTGTTTTTTAATAGATCATTCCTCAGCTGAGAGTCCAACACCTCCGAGCCGCCCAAAGCCTCCACTACCTGCCTCAGCACCCTCTGTACAAGCCGCCCACGTTACCACGGCAACCGCTGTCCCAGTTCCCAGAGCTAGGTCCTCCAGAGCAAGTGATGCAGACAACTCTACTGCTGCTGATAAAAAAGTTTCACCTGTTCCATCCCCGCGTCCACGAAACAAAATAACTTCCAGCACTGATTCAGAAGTACAGCCTAGCCCAGAAGCCAAAACAGAAATAACAGTTACCTCCCCTGACGTACACGCCAAACCTCCACCCAAGCCCCTTCCGTCATCTTTAGAACCCCCACCCAGACCAAAAAGACCATCGGCCTCCCCTACAGCTGTACACAAGACACCCACACAACTACCCAGCAAAGATACTGAAACGTCACCTCCACATAAAGCTGACCAGTATGTTGATACGACACCAATCTACGCCAAAATCAGCAAACCTACACACCCTGAACCTGTTCAAGAAGCTCCACCAACTGAACCTCCTTTCAAAGTCAAGCTGAAGCCCACAGTACCAACAGAAGACACAAAAACAAATGGTGTGTCAATTAGTCCAGATAGCAAGGGTGATCCCACCTCCCTCTCTGAAGAATCTCAGGTTATTCTTAGAACCAAGGGAAGGAACTCAATCTCCCATGATGAACCAGACCAAAGCCCTCCACCAATAAAACCAAAACCTATTTCCGGAGCTTTCCTGGCCAAATTTGAACAAACTGAAGAACATTCTAGAAACCCGCCTGTTCCAGCTAAGCGCCCTGTAACAATGATAGCCCATACAGAGCAGAGCCAGAAAGTATCGGAGTCGTCAGCTCCTACCGTTGCACCTAAGAGACCTATCACAATCATTGGTGGGCCTCATAAATCTCTGGCCAAACCTACAGCAGACACACCAACAGAGACCCAAACTGGCAACTCTCATGAGGATATAAGTGGGTGTGTAATGTTTAATTTGTAGCCAAATGTTTAATTTGTAGCCAAACTTGGATTTAGTTTTTGGTTATCCTAAAAAAATTATATAATTAATAACAGTCTTAAAATAGTTGATAATTAATAAAAAATATAATTATATTACTTCTTAAAATTAAAAAACTTTTATTAGTTTGGTATATTTTTTATTGTTCCACAGGTCAATATCCAAGCAATCACCAACCAGTAAACAACCACCTGTAACACCTACTTCATACGGTGAGGCTGATATTTGTCAGAACTTTAAGTTGAATTCCCTGACAAAATCATTTTTCATTTGTTTAAAAAAGAAAATTCACAAAGTGTTTTTTCCCTTTAAATATTGACATGAACTGACACCTTTGGCAAAAATAAAATAAAAAAGTAACAGTGATATTAATTATTACTTAAGAAATAAAAAAAATTATTATCTAAGGTTATATTTACTTATTTTTCTGTTTTAGTCTTATCTATTCAAATTTTAGGCTCATCTATTCAAATTTTAGGCTTATCTATTCAAATTTTAGGCTCATCTATTCAAATTTTAGGCTTATCTATTCAAATTTTAGGCTCATCTTTTTAAATTTTAGGCCCAGCTATTCCAAACAAGCCATTGGACCACCCAGCAAGTGAAAATGTTTCATCAAATTTCTCATCTGACGCTGACAATGGTCAACAAAAAACAGACAGGTAACCTGTGGTTTTGTTGCCTAATTGGCCTCAAATTTAATTTAATTGTTTTTGTAAATCCATTTTAAGGTGTATATATTTCAGCTCTTTAAAATATTTTAATTTTTTTCTGAAATTAAAATTGACGTACGTTTTGAACTTTGTAGTCACACATTCCATGAGGAAACTCCTCTGGTTAAACCAGCGAATGCACCGGCTAAACCAGCGGCTGCACCGGTTAGACCTACTGAAACACCAGGTAGACCGGCAACTGGTCCAGTGAAACCAGCAAATGTTCCTGTTAAACCCGAAACTTCTGTTAAACCCAGGGAAGCTCTGCCTGTTAACCCTTCAGAATCTCTTCCTGTTAAACCTGAAACTGCTGCCGCTCAACCAGAAACTGCCCCTGTTAAACCATCAACTGCCCCAGCTAAACCTGCTACTGGTCCAGTAAAACCATCAACAGAGCAGAAACCTACAAGTTTGTTTTCGCATTTTTAAAATTAAATAATTTAATCAGTAATTTACTTTAGACCTGGGTTAATGTTAATTTAAATTTCAGAATGTTCATGCTCATTTTTGTTTTATTAAAAAAATTTGCTGAATGCTGAGAATTTTTTTTTCTGCTTGTTTTTAGAATTAGATAATTTTTTTTGCTTATTTAATTTAGACCTGGGTAAATTTAATTTAAATCTGAGAATTTGTATGCTTATTTTAGTTGTATTAGAAGTCAAGAATACTTGCAGGATACTAAGATGATTATGTTTTTAGAGCAGCTTAAGTTACCTCCCCGACCCAGTCCTGGCCACCCACTGTATCACTACATGCTGCCCTACCCACATGGGGTGGCACTACACGGCTACACAGCACACCAGCCAGATGAGCTTAGTTTCAAGGTCAGCACATCAACCATGTTTCATTGACAACCAGCATGCAAAGATGGTTACATTCATTAATTACATTTAAAGTTTGTTTTGTTAATAGTTAACATTATAACTTTTTTCCTTTATTATTGATATCTAAAATTTGTAATGTTAATTATTAAATTACAAACTATGTTTAGTTGATAATTAACATACAAAGCATGTGGGAATTGTTGAACCTTTCAGTCTTCACTATCATTTATTATGTGATTCTGTACAGCTCATGACTTTAGTATCACACCAGGGCTCTTCCATCAAGCTGTGTTGTTGAAAAGCTATAGAATAAAAATCATGTTGTGTTCCAAGTCTTAATGAAGTCTCCAGCCTTTGATGTCTAATCTCTCACTTTCTACTACATACACTGCTATTTAAAACAGCATTTTGAAAAAATTTGAAAATTGATACTGACTTAATCAATTAATATCTTTGAAGTTAGGAACTGGTTATTGCTAAATTTTGTCACTAAAGTTTTTAACTTTTTATCAGGCAGGGGAGACAATATTGCTGGTGAGGAAAGAAGACGAACATTGGTTAGTTGGTAAATGTGGTGATCAGGAAGGCCTGTTTCCTGCCAATTTTATTGAGGTTAAGCGTGAAATTCCAGTTGAGGTGAGGATTTCATATATTTATTTATTTATTTTAGAAAATTTGGCTGAAAACGGTTTTTTAAATGTTAGTCAAAGTAGCCTCCCTTGAATATAAGACAAAAGTAGCCTCCCTGGAAAAATCTCATTAAGTTTTGAACTGATGAAAACAGGGGGCACAAGGAGCAAGCTGGAAAGATGCTTTAGAGGACTGGCCAATATCTGTTGATGAGAACAAAACTGATGGTGACACAGTGGAGGGGCCGAGGTGTAGGGCCAGATTTGACTTTGAAGGTTTGGTCATTTTTTTTTTACAAACTAGTTTTTGTTGATTTGATGAGTGTAAAATATAATACTGAATATATATATTTTTTTGCTTTGTTTTTCTGTCAAAAATTAACTTATAAGTCAATATTATTTCTTTTAGAAGTTGTACATGGGTCATTCACATCATACACATGTCGTACATAGTTTATTTTTTTGTCAAACACATGTCATAAACAGGTAATTTATGTTATACACAGGTCATTCATAAGTCATAAAGAGGTGATTTACAGGTCATTCACATGTCATACACTTTCCACTCACATGTGATTCTCTGAATACATATGATATAATTAAAGTATTGATTTCCTTAACGATATTTTCCGCTGATCATGACCCAACTAACTTTGTACTAGGTGATGGTGAAGGAGAGCTGGCTCTAGAAGATGGAGACGTCGTACAGCTACAGTCTCGTGTGGGCACAGAGTGGCTGAGGGGAGAGGTCAGAGGTCGTCAGGGAATCTTCCCATCATCCTTTGTGGAGATCATTGAGGATCTGCCAGCTGACGGCTGCGTTGGTGAGGATGTTTTCTCCGCTCAAGGGACGGCCATATTTGATTTTGATGGGGAAGAAGGAGAACTAACATTCCAGGTATTAAAGAAACTTTTGGATTCAATTTTAGAACTATTGGTGATTGTTATTTAATACTCGTCAATCAGATCATTTGTAGACTTTTTTTTTCAACTTTTTAAATTAAAAAATAAAATGCTATATTTGTTTGTTTTTTTTTGAAATAAAAACAGTTCATGCCTTATTTCTTTTGGCTCCATTTTAATTTGAAATATAAACAAAATTTAAAAACCATTTTATATTTATAGGCAGGGGACACAATCAACATTTTGAATCTGATCAATGTGGAGTGGCTCTATGGGGAGTGTCATGGTAAAAAAGGCCAGTTCCCAGCATCGTTTGTCTCCCATGTTCCACCAAACCTCCCACTAATGAAGCAGTCTGGCGCTGCTGTCAAGACGAGAGAAAATCTACCTCAGAAAAAAGGTGAGGGACAAACTGGCAGTCAGCCGTTGCCTAGGAAACCTGAGGAGAAACAAGTGGAGACGGTGGAGGAGGAGGTGGAGGGCCCTGTGTTTGTTCTCAAGTCTAAGGAGGTAAGTGTTATATATGCTGGCTTACAGCTATATGTGCTGGCTTACAGCTATATATGCTGGCTTACAGCTATATGTGCTTGCTTACAGCTGTATGTGCTGGCTTACAGCTATATGTGCTGGCTTACAGCTATATGTGCTGGCTTACAGCTGTATGTGCTGGCTTACAGCTGTATGTGCTGGCTTACAGCTATATGTGCTGGCTTACAGCTATATGTGCTGGCTTAAAGCTAAATGTGCTGGCTTGCAGCTATATGTGCTGGTAGTTTACTGGCTTAAAGCCATATGTGATAGTGTGTCTCTACCTTACAGCCATATGTGATAGTGTGTTTCTAGCTTACAGCTATATGTGCCAGTGGTTCACTGGCTTAAAGCCATTTGTGATACTGTGTCCCTAGCATAAAGCAGGTTCACTCATAGTTTTTTAATTATTTGTATTGTATTCTTTTGTTTCTTTTTTTCTCTGTTTTTAAAAATATGCTTATAGTAATAGTTTATTTGTACATTTCAAATGAAATTTGTGTGTGTTGCTGGTATGTGTTTTAAATTTTTATTTAATTTTTTTAACAATAGCTAAGTTGACAGTGAAATTGTTTAAGCTGTCAATCACTGTATTGTTTTAACACTTAGCTTAGCCAAGTAAAATTATACATGTCACTCATTTCCTCAGACAACTTTGGGCTACTGCCGTGGGATCTCTGATTACCTCGACCCACCTCTGGGGGACCTGCCATTTAAGGTTGGAGACAGAATTGAGATTCTGGAATTTGTGGGGGAGGATTGGGCCAGGGGCAGGCTGGGTAAAAAGGAGGGCATGTTTCCTCTTAGATGTGTGGCTGAGGAGGTCATTGACCCTGACCATGTGGAGCCAGTACCAGGTACAGGTTTTAACTTGTTTTTTGTTTACTAAAAGTGGAATAGTAAAACTGAAATCTGAAATCTTGCCAGATTTTATACTCTAGTCAAACTATGAAGCAAATATTTTCTATTTGGTTGAAAATTTTTAAGAAGGACCTTAATTAAAGTAAAAACTGCCAGATGAAAAAAAATTTATTTTATGTAATGAGTAAATCACGTCCTCTTTTGGTTTAAAATTTTGAAGAATAATTCAGTATGTAAATATCTCTCTATAGAACCTGTTGTGAAAGAAAAACTTTATGGGCGTGTCATCCATGACTTTAATGGAGAAAATGATGATGATCTGACAATTAAGGTGAGTACTTCATGTAAACGGCTGCTAAAACTAACCTAGTTCCTTTCTTTTAATAGTGTCTTTTATTTCAATACTGATGTCAAAGTTTTCCTGTGGATTTTTCCAGGAAGGCTGCTAAAATTCTAATCTAGTTCCTTACTTTTATTAGTATCTTTTATTTCAATATTGATGTCAAATTTTTTTCTGCGGATTTGTTTAGGAAGGAGATGTGGTGGAGATGGAGGAAATAGCCGACACAAGGGGCAACTGGAGGTGGGGGCGACTCAATGGTAAACGAGGAATGTTTCCCGTCATTTTTGTGGAGGCCTTGTGAAAATGTTACGAGGAAAGTTTCTTGTCATGTTTGTGGAGTCTATGTGAAAAATGTTCCTTTCAGAAGTCTTGCAGTCTAGATAGTTTTGAAATTAAAATATCAGATTTATGCAAAAAATAAGAAACAGTTTTAAAATAACAGTTGAGTAAGGCTATAATAAAAGGTAGACAATGGCTGAACCCAAGTGCATGGTTGTTTCTCAACATGTTGTTAACATTGCTGTAAAACTTTGTTAACTACTGAAATTATCTTGATATGTATACCTTAAAAACATACATATATTTATATATATATGTATGTAAACAAATATATGTATGTAATATTTGTTATACTTTTACATTGAACTATACAAACAAGGTTTGCTGAATGAATTTTCTTCTGTCTAGATTCCACTTTTTCTACACACTAGTGTCAATTCGGTAGACATAAGGAAATCCTTTTTAAAATCCCAAATAATTTACTTTCTACTGTATCCAATAAAAAGCTATGGTACTTATAATTTTTCACATCTTTACAACTCTACTAATTTTAAAAACGTTTCAATTGGGGTTTTATACAACGCTTACAACATACTTGTAAATTTGTATTGCTTTTACTTGTGCCAATTCAAAAAAAAAATCAGTATTTAAAAAAAAAAATGTTTAAAATGTATTGTTCTGTTGAATAACCTGTTTACATTTTTAAAATTCTCAATTTAACTCCTGTACCAAAGTGACTTACAATTATTGATTTTAAACCTTTGTATTTGTTCTGGGAGAATACAAAGTTATTTTATTAGGCTAATTTGGAGTTATCTTTCACTGTAGGGTTCAGAGTGGGCCAAAATGGCATACTGGGTTTCTACAAATGTTAGTGTTGAAATATGCATAATTACAAAAATGTACTTTTAATATTGGTATTTTGGTTGTAAATATTAGGATAGCTCTACCGTTTGAAAAGAGTGTCTAAAGCCTTTAAGACTTTTAAAGCCTGTTTCTGTTACAAAATGTGCATGCAACACTATTTCCACACTTTTTTTAATAACATTAAAAGGTTATTTTGAAATCTAGTTTTTTTAGAAGCCATTTATGTTTGATAATTTGTGGTTGTATACAGTGGTTTACATTAATATATGTAGGCCTATGTTTTTATATATATATATATATATATATATATATATATATATATATATATATATATATATATATATATATATATATATATATATATATATATATATATATATATATATATATATATATATATATATATATATATATATATATATATATATATATATATATATATATATATATATATATATATATATATATATATATATATATATATATATATATATATATATATATATATATATATATATATATATATATATATATATATATATATATATATATATATATATATATATATATATATATATATATATATATATATATATATATATATATATATATATATATATATATATATATATATATATATATATATATATATATATATATATATATATATATATATATATATATATATATATATATATATATATATATATATATATATATATATATATATATATATATATATATATATATATATATATATATATATATATATATATATATATATATATATATATATATATATAAATAAATATACACATTTACTTATACACATATACACATATTAGGCCTATATGTGTAAAATATGCTATAATTTCATTTTGGGAGTCATTTAAGCATGTGGGGCGGGGGTTTTCTAGCACTAACACCTCCCAACACAACTAAAAAACAAGGTACTTTTGTTTTACTGTTTTTGTACCATTTTCAATGTGTGATTTTTAATTCCCCTTTATTTGGCATAATGTTTGACCTTTATTAATGAATTTGTTGCTTCTAGTAGAGCAATAATTAGCATAGTGCAATTACTGTTAATATTATTTTTTTTGTTATTATTCTTTACTAATGCCCATCTTATTCCATAAAAATATTATTTACTTTTATTCAGTTATTGTGTATTTATAACAAATAATTTTGTTTTAACTTTTTGTTTTTAACTCTGACCAAATGTTAATGAAGTCACATTTAGAAATGTATGAAATGTAGTTTAATGTAACCTAGAAGAAAAAACAATCTACAGAAAGAGTAAACTTTCTTGTTACTAAAATTAACAAGAAAAAAACACATTGTTTATCATTAATTTCTTAAATTAATGGTAACTCAGTTTTTAAACAAGTTTTTACTAATGTGTTTACTTTTTATAGTTTTTACACTTCTATTTCTTGATTTATTGGCAACTTCCCTACTTTTTCAACTTCCACCTAAAACATTTTTACAAGTTTTTTTTATCAACACAAATTTCCCTTGTCTCTATCAATTGTGAAGGCTGCTGCTCAATTTACACTGATCTCCTGTGATGATTTGTTGTGGGGAATGTGTAGCAATGCTTCCATCCTCTTCATGCTGATATTAACTAGCACTGTAATCTTAGACTGTCTAGGCCCTTGTTCCAGTCCAAGTTACTTGTTCCAGTCCTAGTTACTTGTTCCAGCCCAAGTTACTTGTTCCAGTCCTAGTTACTTGTTCCAGCCCAAGTTACTTGTTCCAGTCCTAGTTACTTGTTCCAGCCCAAGTTACTTGTTCCAGTCCTAGTTACTTGTTCCAGTCCTAATTACTTTCCAGCATTAGTTACCTGATACCACTGTTGCATCCTGCTGAGTATTCTTAAAATTGTCCTTTTAATTAATTAACGTTGATCTCTCTTCCAACTCTAAGCCTTTGTGACCATTCCAGTTGAATAAAAAATAAAATTAAACAAGGGAGCCTTAAATTCTTTGAAGTCTGCCTTACTTTTGTTCTTTCAACTGTGTCTCTAGATCTGGCAGGCTAAATAAAATTGTTCAATAATAACATTGCTTACAATTGTTGAAAATTAAAGTATGTATTTTTTAATATTGTAATTCATTATATAACTGCACAATTATTGGTTATATTAAAGTAATATACAGGTTTAAAGTATCTGGTTAATTTCATTATGAATGTGTGCTAAGCTTATACTGGATGCTCACAGCAGTCAGGCTTCAACATAAAACAAAATTTAAGTGTGGAAGATTGTTGTGTATCAACATGTATTTCATATTTTTATTTTTCCTTCCATAGCAACTGTGATGGTTAGAGACTAGGCTGTCAGCAGCATTTTGTTTGAATCTTGTCCCGTGTTGATAACTAGCAAAGCTTTAAGAGGAAAAATATCCTGCTTTATCAACAATGCTCTGTCTTCTTATTAAAAAGGTATACCATATGCGTAATTTAAGTAAGGTTCCCTTTTTGAACCTGAAGGTCCATGACTTTGGCATATGAAGGGATAGTGTGGTCAGCATTATGCCCAGCCGCCTTTACTTTCCCTAAATTGAATTATGTACCTTTCAGAGCTGGGTGAGACTTGAACCTGAATTCAAACTCTAGACTTTCAGGTTAGAAGTCTCATGCTCTACCAATAGGCTACAGCACCCGTCTTGTGTATAGATATGTTGCATTAATGTTTAAACCATAACACATTTTGATATATCTAATCAATGTTAAATACCTACACTATATTCCACATTAACAGAATTTCCTCCACTTGTGATAATATAAAAAGCACAGATTTCATTATTTTTCTCAACAATAAACAGGTTTCAAAATCACATCTGTCTTGACCATTACTTAACAGACAAAAATAAACACTGACTTTAGATTCAATTAATGTTATTTTTATTATACAAAATATAAATACATTATGTTTCTAGTGAATCTTAAATGTTGGACATTCTGAACCCAATGTCTCATTACAACTTCCTAGGGATGTCTGAGGAACTATATAATATCCTTCAGACAGTACCACATTAAAAACTTTTAGACGACTAAGTGTTTTATCATTGAAAAAAAAAATCACCACTTATCATTAGTATTTTATCTTATGACCTTATGAAGTTATATTTTCTGTTCTTTAAAAGCTTACCCCCACCCCTATAAAAAAACTAACAGATGGTGTGTAAACAAAATGTAACAAAAAATATTGCATTGAGCAATTCTAATTAAGATGAACATAAGTCACAGATCTAATCATCTCACAACAATATTTTCACTGAGCTTGCACATATCTTGATTTCAATCAATTTTAAATAGCATTAAATATCTTGTTTGTACTGTTTCTATGCCACATCTCTTACTAGCTTCCCTCTAGCAAAAAGCTACTAGCTTCTCTAGAGCAACAAGCTATTAGCTTCTCCCTAACAGAAAGCTACTAGTTTTTTTCTAGCAGAGAAATTTTTGTGGCAGTAAAAACAAAACAAGCACACTCACAAACCCAACCAGAGTTATAGGACTAAAAAAAAAGGAATAAATATGATATAAGAACCCAATACACTATACAAAAATAAGTCACTGGAATAATAACACTGACCATCAGTAGTAGCAGCAGTGTGGGATAGGGGACAGGGGAGACAACCAATAAATACAAGACAGCATGGACACAAGGGTTATAAATATTCTCATAACAGCACTAGAGTACCTGGTGTGTCACATCATTCTAAAGTTGAGTATTAGTTTATATGTATTTATATATGTATACAGATAGTTTGTTCATCTTATGGTGCTAAAGATATTTACAAACACAAACAAAAGGGGCACAACCGCACCCAGTAACATCTTTATAGTGAAAATAAATAAAGCATGAACCCACTTCTAGTATAGTGAAGGGGTTGCTGTCTGTCTGGAGTACAATGCAACTACCAGCACTCAAACATTTCAGTCATTCATATGGCACAGCCTCTGGCTGCAATAGCCACAGGGTAAGAGTTCAAACCTCAGCTTGGGGAAAACAAAAAGGAAGCCAGGACCTCATTCAGCCAGTCTCTAAAGTTTAAGGCAAAAAATGGTTTGAAGACTGGCACAAATATAGTGGCTAGGTAGATAAAAAACAAGGAGCATCAACAATATGAAACAATCCAACAATGCCTGGCTAAAGAGAATGTAATGAATAACAAACTGACCATCAAAGAAAAAAAAAATGCTACATCAACAATCAACAGAAAATTATGGGTTATAATTTTGACCAGCAAAATCATAATTGCAATATGAGTAACCAATTGATAACTATATACAATGATGGGAGGTGGACGTCCACCAAGTTCTTTCTTTAAAGACTGTACAAGCTAGAATCACTGCCATAACACTGCCACAAGAACTTCTTTCAAATAAGATTTTGTCAAACACATGGTGAATACATTTTCAGGTTACGCTCATAAAACAATGACAGAAAATATTTGTATTTGATTGAATCCGTTCTCGTCTAGCTGCTCCGAAGAATTTAGTGTACAGTAGCACCCAACCAATCAGCCTCCAGCAGTACCACCTAACTTTGTTAGCACCATCCAAGAATTATCAACAATTGTTTGAAAAACAAGAAACAACCGATCGCAGTAACAACAAAAAAAAAAAAAAACCTAGCTAATTATGTACTTATTAACTTTGATCATTTCACCGACATTTTTCTTCAACAAAACTTGAAATCAATAAACACAGCCTTGTCACAAAGGAAGAGTCACAAGCACTAGTAACAAAGCCTGGCTGTCCTGTTTTACATGCAGGATAATAACACTTCTAGAGACAGCACAATTTTTACTTGCAATCTTTAAATATTCATATAAGGACATTCTCTACTATCTATTCTTAGGTTTCAACAAGACAGTGAGGTAGAAATTCTATTACTAAAAAAAAAAAACCTCATGTAGTAGTTTGGGTTTTCAACAACCCAACAAAGCAACTTAAAGCAACAAAGTAAAAAGTGATCGTTTAAATATACAGGTATAATGTCCCTTTAAAAACAAAATGCGAGATGATATCCCTTTAAAAAACTAAACAAACATGGATCACAGTGAATAAACATCTCTGATAGGGTCAACAACAGGACTAGTTCTCTCAGGGAATATCTACAGGCTGGAATATGGTGGCTGACCTAAACAATGGGTGTAGGTGATAAGTCTAAACAATGGCACTGTTTACTGTAGGTGACAAGTTTAAATAATGGAACCGTGAAATGTAGATGACAAGCCTAAAAAATGGTACATGAGGGTGACTTCTTAATATAACTGTTGACTGTAGATGATAGTGATAAGTAAACAATAGACCTGTTCACTGTACATGACGGTAACAAACTGAACAACTCTAGTCATTGTACATGACTTACAGCACATCCATGAGAGTACAGCAGTAGATTAATGAACTGCTGTCTTTACTAACAGACTGACCAATGAACCGCTGTCTCTACTCTGCAGGAAGTAGATCCCAAACACTACTGTCAGAATTGCAGCGAAAGTATCCTTGGGCTGTCTAGGGTAGACATGACCAGGTGCAGATGATTTATCTCAAGTCTCCATCTGACTCATACTTCTTCACCAATGCGATTATCCAAGAAAAATGAACCAATGGTTTGATCAATACTTCTCGTTGTATCACTAGTAACAGGTGCATGGTTCTGGGGGGAGTTTGTGGTCATCAGTTTTTGATTCATGACCAGTTTGTTTAAGAATGATGTGTCAGTTAATCTGGTGAGTGGTGATGATATCCCATTGACTGCATATGGTAAAAGGTCTTTTTGATTTGTTAAAGTTCTGTAACTCTCCTGGCCATTCTCCATGACCTGTGCAGAGTTAGCTGCCCCTGACAGTTTGGGCGGGGCAAGCGCTGATGTACTGGTGTCCAGTGGGCTGGGGCTGCTGTAGGCCATCTGCAGCAGGGATGAAGTTGAGGATGAGCGTGATGTGTGACTGGACAATGGCCGGTCATCTCTTGTCTGGGAGGACAGGGACCGGTCATCTCTGGCTGGGAGACGAGCAGCGGGTTTGAGAACCTCAGTTGGTATCACTGGTACATCCATGTTGACACTGGTAAAAAATGCCATCTTCTCCCTGCAAATAGAATACACAATTCAAATCACCTCGACTACACTTGTTTTCATTCAAATGTCATTTCTGGTGCTAAGTTAAATTATTCTCTTCAACAAATCCAGACGGTTCTAATTCAAGATTTTCCCCCAACATTTACACACCATTATGTTTTAAATCTACCAAGGTATATAATGGTGAAAAAAAAATCACTGGTGATACCTCTCACCATTATTACACAACAATTCTACTTTAGCGTATGCTTACTATAAAAATAGAAAACACAATTTTAAAGCTTTTTTGTGAACATTTTTAAAAACTGGATTTAGAATAGTCTGATTCTGGGAAGCGAAATAATACTACAGGATCATCTGGTCAGAATATATTCTAGGTGTAAAAAATAAAATGAGACGTGATTCAACAAGATTTACTTGTTAAGTATGTACAAGACCCTTTCTGCTGTAAATAAGGCTGTCACAAAAACAGCCACTCACCTAAAATTAAAAGACCTGGACTGCTGTGTGCCCTGCCTCATCCTCTGCACCTCCTTGGTGACTTTCCTCATAAGGTGTTCTGCCCTTTTATCTTGCTTGGAAATGTATTCTTTTTTATCCCCAGGGGCTGATGTGTGCTGTAAATAAATTAAAAATCAACACCCAATGAAATTTTAGATGAGGACACAAAAATTAATAACATGAGTACTGTATAAGTAATACCACCATTAAATGCTGGTTACAAGTGGAATCAATAAATCTAACACATACTTTAGATCAAGACCAATATAAAAATAATTTTTTTGCATTATCTATTTTAAAATGACGTACCAATTTTTCTGCCATGGTCAGGAGGCGATGAAATTTCTCATTTTCAGAAAGCCAGTCTGGCAACTCCCATTCTCCTGTTCAAGAAAATCACACATTTTTAGTAAACTAAAGAACACAGTACTGAACAGACTCAAGTACTGACTGACACCACAAGACCAAATAAAACACTAGAGAAATGAATACTAACCTTTGTTTTTTGAATCTTCCAAAGTTCGCTTAAGTTCTTTTAACCTGGTGATTTCATCATTTAAGTGTGACAGCCTAGTGTGGGAAGCCTGAAGGTCCAACTCCAAGTCCAGGGATGTTCGGAATGGTAACTGGCTTGATATAGGCATTATAGCTATTGAACCATCCGCCTGAAAGTAAACACCACCATTTTAGAATATTGATGTAAGTATAGTTATTGCTTATGAAACTTGGCCTAATACTCAAACGTATTGATGAAAAAAAACAAAATGCTTAACTAAACTGAACAGCAATAAAACAAAACAACTTACCCTTTTCCAACGAAGACTACGCCTGCTCATAGTATTTCTCTGGAAAGTTGTTTTCTTGTATAGAGGCATTGAGCTATCACTATCACTGCGGTTTAACTGTAATAAAATAACTTGTGTTTAGAGAACAAAATTTTTTTTCAAGACATTTCAGTAAAAAAAAAAATGGGTTAAGCTAGAAATTTTCTTTTCTTTAGATAAACAATTGGCCATCACTAATCCTGTCTATAAATGAAGGTTGAGGCCTCCAGTAAATTTGTGCTTACCTTGCAGACATAACCAGGAGGCTGTTGTCGGCAGGTGGGTGAGAATGTCTGTGAGCGCCTTATGGTGCTGCTCCTCAGGGTGCTGGCGTGCCTCTGTGGCTGGTGATGGTGGTGAGAGGCCCTAATCTCACGCAGCCTGTACTCCCCTACTTCAGTGTTGGTCTCCTTGTCACACTTGATGTTCAGCTGACCATCCACAGACTCGGTCAACTCATCATCATCGTAATGATCCACTGACTCAGCCAGTTCATTCAACACCTCCTGTATCATCTCAGCATAGTCTTGATCCTGTTCAAGTGATTAAAGAGAATAAATAAATAGCACAATCATTTACATCTTAACCAGCCAATATAAAACTCTCATTTTTAAAATTAAAATCCTAAATGTTGTACATCCCCCCCCTCCCCCCCCCATTGAAGCACTACTCAGTAATTATAATAAAACAATTTGAACTACTGTGACAAAACATAGAACCTCATATCCAATTTAAAGTATTCTTAAAGTGATAAAGTATTCTATGGTTAATAAAAAAGTTGCATTGATGAACCTGAGTATCCCAGTACAAGAGAACTAACTCTGTCATGGAGGACTTCAGGTGAATTAGAGAAAATTATGTCTGGCTAGATCAGGGGTCTCCAAACTACGGCCCGCGGGCCGGATGCGGCCCGCGATGTCCTCTCATCCGGCCCGCGGAGATTTATTTGTCCACGGAAAAACCGTTTGATGGTGATGGCAGAGGAACTTTGCCCAGAAAAATCAAAGACTTTCCTGGAAGAAGTTGGCCCCCGAACTGAAATTTGATAATTAATGCGGCCCTCGGACTGAAAAGTTTGGAGACCCCTGGGCTAGATGATAGATTGTTGATTTACCCTTTTTGATTCCCTAAATGAATACCTCCCTACTGATGATCTGTTGTTAACACCATTTTAAATTTAATCATAATACATTTAAGGTGAATTGAAACCCTTAATTTTCAGGACAATAGTATGTTTTAGGTATGTTTATCTGACCGTTATTTGAACAGGCCTCTCACAGAGAAGAATTCTAGTGAAAATGAAACTAGTATACATTTGGTAGACACAACCTTAGTGTACCCCACATTGACTTTTCATTGTATGTAAAAAGATAACATATAACACTTTCATAAATAAGTGACAAAAATATGCCTACAAATTCTGTAACCTTTTCATCTTCCTCCTCTTCATCATCATCTTCGTCATCATCATCCAGCCCATCCTGTATGTGAGGGCTGTCAAATCTGTGATTTTTCATGTCCTCAGGGCCTGTGGGTAGCAAATGGTTTGTGGTACAGACAAAGTAGATGGTACCCAAGAGATGGTAACATGCTATTAACTATGATGACCAGCTTTCTTGTTTTATTAGCTTACCATGGTTCCTGGTTAAGGTGGACGTCTGAGATGAAATAATGGTGGACTCGTCACTACTCTCTTCTTTTAAAGAAACAATCAATGGGTGGGCAGACTTGGTTGAGTCCCTGTACAAACATGTCACATTCATTATGGATGTCATTCTATAAACATATTTTTAACTTTAAAAAAAATAATCAATTAGAAACAGAAAGAGAAGGGTACCCACCTTCTTCCAGAGTCTGAGGACTGATCATCGTTTACTGTTGCTTGTCGCAGCTTAGCAGATGAAGCTTCAAGTAACTGATGAATTCTGTCCTGTGTTTCTTTCTGGTAAATAAACAATGAAACCTAGGTAAAAATATCTAATTATACGAAAGTTTTTTGTACTATTTTTCAGAGCCAAAAATATTTTATCCCTCAGAATAAAGATTTCTAAACTTGAAAGGTAATGCTAGGGGAAGTGTCAAAAAAATTCTTTGACGAAATCATAACTCGTAGCATAATAAGTACATTTTGATTTCGTTAGCTATCCAATCGCATTGTCATAAGTTATTTTCATTCTGGTTTCAAAGCTATTTGGCCACAGGTATTTGTTCTGTTATTTGGGTAAAAATGTTTTTATTTTACTGAATGAGAGGGGATGTGGAAGCACCAAGATTTTATGGCTTTTCAGGAGGGGTGCTGTGACAGAAAGTTTTAGAACCTGCTGGTTAAAGTCATATGTAAAAATGATTAAATGTTCACAATGTATTCAACACTTAAAAAAGATAATGATAGATACCTGTTTGGATTGAAGTAAAGTTAGTTTAGGATCTTCTGAACTACTGCTGGAGGATGGCTGTGAGTGTCCACTTACACTAGGCAAGGTCGTCCCCTGAGCCTTCATCTCTGACTGCATGAAACGGAAGCTCAACACATTGTACCAATGTATAGAGACGGACAGAGGGTCAAAGTCTGCAAGGCTAACCTGCGCACAACCCTAGTTGTAGAAAAATAAATATTTATATAAATATATATAACATAACTTGTATAAGAAAAAAGATCATCAGAAAAAAAAATGTAATGAGGTAGAGGTATAAATGAGGAACTCACTAAACACTCCTCTTTCTTCTCTGGGCTGAGGCTCCAGACATGCACCTGGAGGGTTTTGGAGTAAAGCTTGTGTTCTGGGATGGAGAAGCTGAATGTCTCAGAAAACTTGGGAGATTTGGTGTCTGCCAGGGGTTTTGTGGACATGCAACTTGTCTGGATAGGCAGCAAGGCTGCTTTGATAAACCTGCAGTCAGATGTATGTTTATAATCAGCTGACATGATAACCAAACAACTGTATTAAATCATAAAAATTGAAAGCAACTTGAACAGTGGTAAGAATTACTAACAGATTTGGTAAAATGATATGAAAATGTTTTTAAACAGAACTTACACACTGCTGTCTTTAGGGAAGGGTAAAACACTAAGGTTACGCCCCTGCTCAATGCCAACTATCAGCTGGTGATCCAATCCTTCATATCTAGAGAATAGTTTTTAAAGCATTATCATCCATACACAATGTAAAAGTACAGCTTTCAGTAATGACATTAAGATAATTAGTGTAGACTTATGTAATGCCAAGTGAGCAATTGATTGAATACTTACTTAAGTTTGATTTGTATTTGTGCACTTTCCAGATTGCTTTCCAATACTTTGTCAATATAACCTGTTCTGTAAAGTTAAATTTTAAACATTAATTCAAAGACAAGTTTAAAAAGTTAAGCAATTATAAAAAAAAAATATAACAAAAGAGAAACAAAACAACTAGAGCAATCAAATAAACGATATTAGAAGTTTTTCAAAAACCTCCTGGCATTAAAGCTGTATGCTCCTAGTGCAACTTATCATGATGTGCTTAAAGTACTATGGAGAAAGACATTCAAGCTGGCAGCTTTTCAATTAAAACAAAACCTATGTAATAAAAATCTAAGTATCCGACATTCAAACTTTCTATTTAAAAAATAAAAAACCAGTGCAATAAAAAAAAGTTTGTGATCTGACCTTTTAACAGAGGCCTCAAAGACTCCACTGTCTCCAGCAACAGACTCGTCACTGACAGCCGCAGACACACTCCTGGTGTTGCCACCAGACAGGTTGTTGCCAACCCCAGAACTGCTCTCACTGATGGGACTCAATGGGGGGTTCACCATAGACTCAACATTCTGGGAGTGCCGGGAGATGTAAGCAGGTGCTGGGGCGTGGCCCTCGCTTGTGCTGGTATTCTGGTTTACTAACGTCTGGTGCTGTGTATGACTACTGTTATCTAAACCAGAACTCGTCTCCGTTGATAAACTAGAGGCAAAGCAAGGATCACTAAAGTTTGTCTTTAAAATATCTTGAGGCACATGACCAGTCATTTGCATAGTATTTACATTGCTAAACGGGTTTATGAGTGGAGAAAGTTCAGTCTGTTTTGATTGCTCCAAGTTTGATGCCCCAGAACCCACAAGCCATTTCAAGTTGTCCGTGACAGCAGGGCTGCCGTTAACAGGGTGCATCTGGTGCTGGTGCTGCAACAGCTGCTGGAAGGGGACGTGGCGTTGTTCTAATGCACTCATGTGTTGCTCGTAGCTGGGGGGCGGGCCGAAGCCGTAAAGCGGGGACACCGGTGGGGAGGCTGACGATGTTGTAAGGGATGATTTAGAAGACACAACAGATCCATGGTTAGAAATAGCACTGAGTAAACTGTTAGTGATAAGTCCATTGTTGTTGAGGATGCCAGCCAGGCCAGGGTGGCTGTTGGACAGCATGTTGTTGCTGTTGTCTGTCAGCTCGTGGGTGCCCAGCAGGACAGACTGCATGTAATTTGATGTGGCGGCCTCAGTCACATCATCCTGTGGGAGTATGGTCAAAGTCTCATGGATGGGGGACATGCTGTGACCTGGGAAGACAAAAAACAATATTTCATTTAGTGCATTGACTGCCGAATTACTAATGATGGAACAACTATAGCATTCTCATATTTTAGCATTATTTGCACAAAAGCCAGTCTTTAAGCATTATATATATCCGAGCCGGCCCGCGGCATAACATACGCCACTATTTAGTTGTTTTTTTTCTACTTTTCAGTAATTCATAATTTGTGAATTCGACAGTACCAACGCTGATACTGAAAATATTTCTTTAAAACACTATAAGTAGCTCGTTAAGGACCATAACCCCCCCTTCCCCCAACGTTTAAAATCGTTTCAAACTAAATTATCTGCCCCTAATAGCCGTCACTAAACCAGACTCCACGAAGGTAAACATAGCGTGAACCACAGCTCACTAAGACCATGTAGGGGTGGGGATGGTAGGGAGCGCGTTTACAGCTTGTTTTCTAGCGTCTCCCAGAAGAGAATTATATATATAGATAAAACCAACAACAGAATTTAAGCAATGAATTAAAAAATAAATACTTAAGCAATATATTCCGACCCCCCCCCCCCCACCCCCCCCCCCCCAAATAAACTTGAGAGCAATTTCAAAGTGTGGTACCTTGAAGAAGCTTCTCTACTCGCTGATGTAACTCTTGCAGGTTAACCTCCCCTGATGATCCAGTCATCTGGCCAGCATTGTAAATATCCATGGTGGATAACGAGTTGAGGGAGCCTCGACTACCAGCAGAGAGTGACCCAAGAGAGCCGAGGCTGGACCCGGAGGAGACAGACAAGGTGCTCAGGGACAGGCTGGTGAGGAAACAATGCAGGAATTAACACATTTGTTCAAACCTAACAATCCTGGGTGTGAACTAGAAAGTCAAGTCAACTGTACCTTCTGAGCTGTGACTCCAGGTAGGAAGTTAGTTTAGTTGTCTCAGACAGCTGGTGTAAGATGGAAGCCTTCTCATCATGTAAAGTTATCCTGCATATGGAGGAAACACAGTACATATTACATTACAGGCATTCTTTTGTTAAGTAATCAATATTTTCCTTTTATACAAAGCTTACACACAAGACATCCTGGTGAATGGTTTTTCGTCAGCAATATTGAGAAGAGCGAGCAAGAGCTAGTCAGTCAACTTACCTCTGTTGAATTTGTTTATTAGAAATTTCTTGGGCATGTCTGAGATCATGCTCAAGTTTATTTATTCTTTGTCGAACTGTCAACATCTCATCCTCACTGCGACCTTTAGGGTCAATGCTGCGCAACTCTCTTAACAGTTGCTCTTTTTCTTGCAGCAATAACAACCTGGGTAAAAAAAAACTTTCTTTGTCACATTCTTTTAAGTTTGTAGTTTAGAATTCAACCTTAATTTATATTTTTTTTTTTAGATAATAGGATGTTTAATTAATAAATAAGAACCCCCACCCAACAAGAATGCGGTAAGAAGAAAATTTAAAAATAGACATTAACAACATCTAAAATAGTTTTGGGATTTTCCTGTGCAAGCAAGTTTAATCTGAATGGGAGAACTGTACCATGATTAAGTTTGTTTAAAAGGTGTCGCTTACTTAGATTATTTAAAATTAGATAAGTTCAGTATACAGATTTACAAAAGACGAACAAATCAGCAGTAGGTAAAAATCAAGTAAACACCAAAAACAATCTGATGGCAGATATAAATATAGTGAATGGTATGCAGTGACAAACCACTGCCTTGTCAAATGCTTGTGCATAAAAATTGTTGCCAAGAGTAATTTAACCATACACCTTAAGCAAAAAAATCCCCAGCCATGCTTGTCATACCCATACACTAAAACCAAAATACCCCCAGCCAAGCCTAATATAACTGTTCATCTAAAGCAAAAAATCTCTAGCCAACCCTCACATAACCATACACCTAAAGGAAAAAATCCCCAGCCAAGCTTTACACAATGGCATACCTGTCACGGTCTGACTCTGGCTGACCTGGCAACATTTTGTCTTCAATGTTGGCCAAACGAAACTTAAGCTCTCCCATTTTTTTCTGGGCTTCATCATATTGCAGTCTCATTCTTGTCTTCTCAGCCAGCAGTCGGGAATGGTTCAATCCAAACTGAAAGACAGAGCCAATTGTTGAAATGAAAACACCAGCACAATGCAGTGCTATATGAGCTAGAGAAACCTACTGCACTAAGGTATTCACACAAACAGTTACATGGTCCAGATTTATGTCTTAATTTATTCTGACATTAGAAAAAAGGGCAGCAGCTATGAAATCTGATCACACATTAAAGTGATAGACTGTCAACTCCAACACTATTAAAATAAGCCTAAAGCTGCATTGAGGAAATTCTAAACATGTTGGAGACAGAAATGTAATTTCAAAGTCCTATTGGGATATTTTTAAAATAAAATTGTTGTTTCTTATAAATAAATAATAGTAAAGATGTAGCTGAATGCCTGAAAAAAATTTGGATTTTGTTCTATAATGGAAACAGGATGAACCACACAACATACAGTTTGACAGGGAACATGACATTATGATGGGATGTAATACACACCATAGTTTGACAGGGAACATGACATTATGATGGGATGTAATACACACCATAGTTTGACAGGGAACATGACATTATGATGGGATGTAATACACACCATAGTTTGACAGGGAACATGACAGTGTGATGGGATGTACTACACACCATACAGTTGACAGGGAACATGACAGTATGATGGATGTACTACACACCATACAGTTGACAGGGAACATGACAGTGTGATGGGATGTACTACACACCATACAGTTGACAGGGAACATGACAGTATGATGGATGTACTACACACCATACAGTTTGACATGGACCATGACAGTGTGATGGATGTACTACACACCATACAGTTGACAGGGAACATGACAGTATGATGGATGTACTACACACCATACAGTTGACAGGGAACATGACAGTGTGATGGGATGTACTACACACCATACAGTTGACAGGGAACATGACAGTATGATGGATGTACTACACACCATACAGTTTGACATGGACCATGACAGTGTGATGGATGTACTACACACCATACAGTTGACAGGGAACATGACAGTGTGATGGGATGTACTACACACCATACAATTTGACAGGGAACATGACAGTGTGATGGGATGTACTACACACCATACAGTTGACAGGGAACATGACAGTGTGATGGGATGTACTACACACCATACAATTTGACAGGGAACATGACAGTGTGATGGGATGTACTACACACCATACAGTTTGACAGGGAACATGACAGTGTGATGAGATGTACTACACACCATACAATTTGACAGGGAACATGACAGTGTGATGGGATGTACTACACACCATACAGTTGACAGGGAACATGACAGTGTGATGGATGTACTACACACCATACAGTTGACAGGGAACATGACAGTGTGATGGATGTACTACACACCATACAATTTGACAGGGAACATGACAGTGTGATGGGATGTACTACACACCATACAGTTGACAGGGAACATGACAGTGTGATGGGATGTACTACACACCATACAATTTGACAGGGAACATGACAGTGTGATGGGATGTACTACACACCATACAGTTTGACAGGGAACATGACAGTGTGATGAGATGTACTACACACCAAACAATGTGACAGGGAACATGACAGTGTGATGGGATGTACTACACACCATACAGTTGACAGGGAACATGACAGTGTGATGGATGTACTACACACCATACAGTTTGACAGGGAACATGACATTATGATGGGATGTACTACACACCATACAGTTGACAGGGAACATGACAGTGTGATGGATGTACTACACACCATACAATTTGACAGGGAACATGACAGTGTGATGGGATGTACTACACACCATACAATTTGACAGGGAACATGACAGTGTGATGGGATGTACTACACACCATACAGTTGACAGGGAACATGACAGTGTGATGGGATGTACTACACACCATACAGTTGACAGGGAACATGACAGTGTGATGGGATGTACCACACACCATACAGTTTGACAGGGAACATGACAGTGTGATGGGATGTACTACACACCATACAGTTTGACAGGGAACATGACAGTGTGATGGGATGTACTACACACCATACAGTTTGACAGGGAACATGACAGTGTGATGGGATGTACTACACACCATACAGTTTGACAGGGAACATGACAGTGTGATGGGATGTACTACACACCATACAGTTGACAGGGAACATGACAGTATGATGGATGTACTACACACCATACAGTTTGACAGGGAACAAGACAGTGTGATGGGATGTACTACACACCATACAGTTTGACAGGGAACATGACAGTGTGATGGGATGTACTACACACCATACAGTTTGACAGGGAACATGACAGTGTGATGGGATGTACTACACACCATACAGTTGACAGGGACCATGACAGTGTGATGGGATGTACTACACACCATACAGTTTGACAGGGAACATGACAGTGTGATGGGATGTACTACACACCATACAGTTTGACAGGGAACATGACAGTGTGATGGGATGTACTACACACCATACAGTTTGACAGGGAACATGTCATTATGATGGGATGTATATACAGTTGACAGGGACCATGACAGTTTGAGTGACCTACCTCTCCTCTTAGGTCTGTTTGAGAGGCCATGTCCAGCCTGTCCTGGGCCAGAGATAAGGTCGACACATCAGGGGAGGACCCACTGGCTCTTCGCATCAGATCTTCCTTCAGTCTGACAAGAGACTGGAAGAAAAAAAAACCATCTTTCTATGTCAACCAATTACAACATCATTTCGTTTAATTATCACACAAATTGGCTTTAGTTAACAGAAACAAGAAAAGAATGAGGAATGAGATAACAGTCACTACAATATTGTTTAAACCCTATTGTACTATCAAAAGTAAGTAAAGATCCCTTTCTAACAATCACATGACACTCGATGAACAAGTAAAGTAGAGTTCACCTACTTCTGTGACTTCAGTCACCTTTACTTTACCTAACATGAGTCAGGTACCCATCAGAGCTGGATCAACTATACCATACAACCATGCAGTATTGTTACTTATAAAAGTAACAACATTTTGTTACCAACATTTCGTAACACTCTACTGAAATTGTAACTTTACTTTTTTAAAAACATAAAAATGGTAGATAAGTACAGCACCAGCCTACAAAATGTCAAGCTAGTTGTCCTATGTTGGTGCTGCAGACATAAAAAAAAAAAACCTAACAACTTTGCATGTTTGGAGCAAGTTATGAATAGACTAATTTATAAAATGTTTAGAGGCAGGACTGATATGGTGCAGCTGAGAGGGAACCTTGTTTTATAGCCACAGATACTCTTTATGTACACTGGCCTTAGATGTGGTGAGTTTTTAAATGAAATAGGGAGAGGCGGAACACTTCCTGTCACAAAAGATAACTCCTGTACCTTGGTGCGTGAATGAAGATTGCACTGAGCTATGAATGAAGACATTTTTAAAAAGTCAGCTAGCTTGTGTAAAACTGCTGCATGACCCCGTCAATGTGTAACACACAAGAAGGCTCGAGATAAATTATAAGGCTAAAAATGAAACCATAAAACAAGATGGCATCTGCATTATGCTAATGTACAAGGTTACTTTATTATAAATAAAAAATCTGACAGTAGAATACACTAGTTAGGAATGTGATTCTAGACACTTAAAATTAACATCAGACTTTATAAGCACCTAGTTTGATTATAGTGACATTTACATTTGTACTTTTGTTTTTAAAAGTAACAATAATTCTGACAACTCATAATCAATGAAAAGTGACACTATAACTAAAAACTCATAATCAAACAAGTGACAAAAAAATGACTGATGATTCCTAATTTAACAAAAATGACAGTAGGCCTGATAAATCTATCAAGAAGACCAAAAAATGGTCTTGGGATAGAATTTTGTAACTTGCCTATAAATAATTTTATCACGTAAACTTAACACAACTGTCTGGCCTGGCTAAAAACATGACTGACTGGACACACTAAATGTCATCTTTCAACAAATTAGCAATATTCTGAATGTCATCCTTCAACAAATTAGCAACATTCTGAATGCCATCTTTCAACAAATTAGCAACATTCTGAATGTCATCTTTCAACAAATTAGCAACATTCTGAATGTCATCTTTCAACAAATTAGCAACATTCTGAATGTCATCCTTCAACAAATTAGCAACATTCTGAATGTCATCCTTCAACAATTTAGCAACATTCTGAATGTCATCTTTCAACAAATTAGCAACATTCTGAATGTCATCCTTCAACAATTTAGCAACATTCTGAATGTCATCTTTCAACAAATTAGCAACATTCTGAATGTCATCCTTCAACAATTTAGCAACATTCTGAATGTCATCTTTCAACAAATTAGCAACATTCTGAATGTCATCCTTCAACAATTTAGCAACATTCTGAATGTCATCTTTCAACAAATTAGCAACATTCTGAATGTCATCCTTCAACAATTTAGCAACATTCTGAATGTCATCCTTCAACAAATTAGCAACATTCTGAATGTCATCCTTCAACAAATTAGCAACATTCTGAATGTCATCTTTCAACAAATTAGCAACATTCTGAATATCATCCTTCAACAAATTAGCAACATTCTGAATGTCATCTTTCAACAAATTAGCAACATTCTGAATGTCATCTTTCAACAAATTAGCAACATTCTGAATGTCATCCTTCAACAAATTAGCAACATTCTGAATGTCATCCTTCAACAATTTAGCAACATTCTGAATGTCATCTTTCAACAAATTAGCAACATTCTGAATGTCATCCTTCAACAATTTAGCAACATTCTGAATGTCATCTTTCAACAAATTAGCAACATTCTGAATGTCATCTTTCATCAAATTAGCAACATTCTGAACGTCATCTTTCAACTGAGTAAGTTTCCCTTTCAAACCTGACGGTCTATGGGGCAAGTGAAGTAGAGTTCACTTGTTTCTGTGACCTCAGCATATGAAGAGATAGTGTGGTCAGCACTATGCCGCTATGCCCAGCTGCCTTTACTCTCCCTAACGTGAGTTAGGTACCCATCAGAGTTGAATGGAATCAGGGACGGTCTACTGACTTGAACCCGGATTCGAACTCGAACAGGTTAGCAGTCCAGCTCTCTACGCTAGACCACTCCGTCCCCATTCAACAGAGTCGTAACTTTCTGAATGTCATCTTTCAACTGAGTTGTAACTTTCTGAATGTCATCTTTCAACTGAGTCGTAACTTTCTGAATGTCATCTTTCAACAGAGTTGCACCATTCTAAATGTCATCTTTCAACAGAGTTGCAACATTCTAAATGTCATCTTTCAACAGAGTTGCAACATTCTAAATGTCATCTTTCAACAGAGTTGCAACATTCTAAATGTCATCTTTCAACAGAGTCGCAATGACACAGAACCCAAAGGGGAATAAGTCTAGGGCAGCAGACATCTTAATTAGTTTCTTCTGTCAGATCTAATTATGAGGTAAAGTTGTGTTCTCTAAGACAAGGGCTAACAAAAACAAAAACCTGGCACAGAGAAAAAGATAAATGGAAGTTTATTTTTAAACCCACATGACCACAATAAGATGCTGAAAATCCCACCAGGAAATAACATCCTAACATAGTGACACAAGTATCTACAGATATATTTTTTAAAAGATGAAATCTACAGTTTACAATTTAACCCCCCCCCCCCCCCCCCCACCCCACCTGCAAATAGTAAACTGATGGGAGTATTTGTAAAATAAAAATTCTACATAGACCACCTAGCTAGACAAAAAAAAAAAAAAAAGACACAAGCTCTCAATTTAGGCAACAACAAAACTAGTTAGGATTCGCAAAAACAAATGACGTAGTACACAAAACAAACACTGAATCTGATAAGCCATGCCTCTTCCCTCCCCCCCATCCAAATGTAGCGGTACTGAAAATATTTCACATTCCATTAAGTTGTTAAAGAGGAGCGGTAACTCATTCATTAGTATCTATTTACTACGTAACCAAGGGGAGATAACCCCCGGGCGAAACCGTGAAAAGACAATCTGAAGGGACCTACGGCGCTGATAAGGACAGGTACTCAGACAGACAGAGCGTGCTGGCCGAGAAGGCATACAAAGGAGTGAGAGATAATCTACTTTTTGGCACACGCCGAGTTCTCACGCTCAGTAGCACGCTTACCCGATTTAACGAGAGCACCCCCACCCCCTTCCCCAGTCAAATACCTGTCAACCCGAACCGCGGATTTCCCCGCTATTTCTACCAATTTCTTCTTAGCATAAATAAGAGAATAATCAGTTTTAAAAAAAAAATCAACAAAGAATGTTTCCTGGAGTAGACGAATGTGCTTGTACTTTAAACATGGTATGCCAGCACCACTACAACTAATCTTATTTGTGCAATGGAATGTGTAATAAATAAACGTAGGCTTCACAGTTTTTCTAACGTAGCGCGGGGAGACGAGACGATGGCCTGCGCGGTGTATCAAGTAAATAGGCGACACAAGCTGTACAGGTTGGGGTAGATCTCGGTGCATGTTTTAGGTAAACTCGGTCTAGAGCTGTGTTACGTGGGCTACTGGGGGCACACTGTGGGCCTCTGGTCTAGACGTACGGCGGTCCACAGGTCTAGACAAACGTACGGCGGTCCGCTGGTCTAGACAAACGTACGGCGGTCCACTGGTCTAGACGTACGGCGGTTCACTGGTCTAGACAAACGTACGGCGGTCCACTGGTCTAGACAAACGTACGGCGGTCCACTGGTCTAGACAAACGTACGGCGGTCCACTGGTCTAGACGTACGGCGGTCCGCTGGTCTAGACAAACGTACGGTGGTCCACTGGTCTACTAGACAAACGTACGGCGGTCCACTGGTCTAGACAAACATACGGCGGTCCACTGGTCTAGACAAACGTACGGCGGTCCACTGGTCTACTAGACAAACGTACGGCGGTCCACTGGTCTAGACAAACGTACGGCGGTCCACTGGTCTACTAGACAAACGTACGGCGGTCCACTGGTCTAGACAAACGTACGGCGATCCGCTGGTCAAGACAAACGTACGACGGTCCGCTGGTCTAGACAAACGTACGGCGGTCCGCTGGTCTAGACAAACGTACGGCGGTCCACTGGTCTAGACAAACGTACGGCGGTCCACTGGTCTAGACAAACGTACGGCGGTCCACTGGTCTAGACAAACGTACGGCGGTCCACTGGTCTAGACAAACGTACGGCGGTCCACTGGTCTAGACAAACGTACGGCGGTCCACTGGTCTAGGCAAACGTACGGCGGCCCACTGGTCTAGACAAACGTACGGCGGTCCACTGGTCTAGACAAACGTACGGCGGTCCACTGGTCTAGATATGGTCAAGCATACTGTGGTCCAATGGTCTAAACATAAATACAGTGGTCCAATGGTCTAGATATGTCAAGCTTAATGTGGTCAACTAGCCTAGACACTTCCTATTGAGCCCACTGTAAAGCCAATGATATACCATCAGTTAGACATGGAACGGTTAGCGTGAACACTGGTCAGTGCTACACGTGCATCTGGTCAAATGTATGGACAGGTAGGTGTGGGCACCGTTTCGTACGTGCCCGGCGTTGCGTGGGAGTAAGCTCACCGACATCATAAACGTTAACCTGGTTCCTGCACAGTTGGGTCCGACCAATACGCCAGACATGCACCTGTCCAGTCAGGCGGGTCAAACATACAATTGAGTCAAGCCACAAAAACCGACAGACATACACACAGACGACATCCATCCCATTACACTCACCATCCATTATCAGCCAGCATTAACTCACATTGAGGAGAACACCCCCCCCCCCTCTCTCCTACCCCGCGCATTCCACCGTAGCTAGTCGTGCCACCTGAGTCTGGAACCAGACAGCACCGGCGCCAGCTGACTCACGCTGCAGGTATGTAAGGTGTGAAAACTAAGGACACCACCAGGGTCATAGATGCGCGGGTGCAGAGGTCGAATGTCAACATAGGGAGACACGTCCACACCGGGGAACGTGTTGGCTGGGCTGTCCTACCTACACGGACCAGACATGTGTCGAGGGATACTCGTGGCGTGTATAGCCGTGTACACTACACGTGGGGGCAGGTAGACCGAGCCTTTCTTCACTACCAGCACTCACACACACGCACGTATGTAATCACAATGAAGATCTCTTTTATCGGACACAAGCAAGATAGCGCGGCTCCTGGAGATGCGCGGCGTTACTAAACATTTTATACCTAGAACAGGAATTCTAGGCCGCCATAAAACGTTTAGTCCTGTTTATGACAAGAACCATTAGCTACAATGTATTGACATACTTTGGGTAAGAAGGGAGAGAAACAGGTTTGTCGCTTGTTTTTTTAGGCACAACTGGATAGAACAAAATCGGTATATTGTAGATCAACAGCTGTTCCAGCACGTGAAATCAAATCTGTTAACTGCGTCTTTTGAGTGGAACAACCAGTTGCGTATGCAGGGGGGGGGGGGGGGGGGGTGTTAATCAACCCCCCCCCCCCCCCCCCCCCAAACAAATCTCACGATGCTTTACTGCGCTACTGCCACTGTGTATACGATCAAGATTTGTGTAACATGAGTGTAGAAGGATGCTATTCAAAAGTCGGCTATGTCGGTTGTCTTCGTCCACTGGGAATTCAACACAATTTCAGCAGTGGACTGACCAGCTTTGGGCCGTGCGCTTGTTTTCATCCATAAGGAGGAATAAGTTAGCTTTAACCATTTCCGTTTCTTTCTAATTATATTCTAGCAGCTTATCGAAAGAAGCCAAGACAATTTTAAACTGGTTTTATACCGCTTTTGTTACCATACAAGTGGGTGTTTAATAGATAATAGAATTTTAACAAATCTTTCGGCAACTTTCAAAAGGGAGCCTATCGGGTATTTCCTAAGCATAAAAAACTTTTGCAAAGGTTATTTAAAAGTGCCGGTAGACGTAATGTAACGAATCATACAGTTGAGTGTATAAAGCAAGCATATGACCCGTAGAGACCCAGCGAGTTAAAGAAATCAAGTGAATAGATCGAATAGCAAGCACATAAAGACATCTATGTTCACGTGGATGTTTACATCTGACATTTAGCCAGTAACAACACTAGCTGTAGGTAGGAAGGGGTTAAGACACAGGTTCGTGTTTACATCTGACATCTAGCCAGTAACAACACTGGCTGTAGGTAGGAAGGGGTTAAGACACAGGATCATGTTTACATCTGACATTTAGCCAGTAACAACACTAGCTGTAGGTAGGAAGGGGTTAAGACACAGGTTCGTGTTTACATCTGACATCTAGCCAGTAACAACACTGGCTGTAGGTAGGAAGGGGTTAAGACACAGGTTCATGTTTACATCTGACATCTAGCCAGTAACAACACTAGCTGTAGGTAGGAAGGGGTTAAGACACAGGTTCATGTTTACATCTGACATCTAGCCAGTAACAACACTAGCTGTAGGTAGGAAGGGGTTAAGACACAGGTTCGTGTTTACATCTGACATCTAGCCAGTAACAACACTGGCTGTAGGTAGGAAAGGGTTAAGACACAGGTTCATGTTTACATCTGACATCTAGCCAGTAACAACACTAGCTGTAGGTAAGAAGGGGTTACGATACAGATATATCTCATGCTGTGTACCGTCAAAGAGCAGACGACAGAGATCCCCCACTTAGATAAGCCTGCTGTGTGTAACCAGCCGTGGCCATGTTCATTCCGCATTCCTACTCAGCTGATTAGTCGGCCTGCTCCAGAACGTCCATTATCACACCAGATAAGTAGACGCCGCCACTAGTACATTTTTTTTTTATAATTCAGGGACAACACTAGCATACGTTCTTTTAATCCAGTGACGCCCGCAAGTATACATTGGTACAAATAACGGATGCCGCTACCCTACGTTTAAAAAAAATAACGGGACACCACCAACATACAATTTTATTTATGTAACGGCAGTAAGGGTAATTTCATGGCGCTTTTATACCCTACACACCAAAAACTAGATTAAAAACGCTTGATAATATCTATATCAATTGTTTTATGGTCAGCCCTTGAAACAGGACTATGTAGCCATTCAAGAGGTCAGGACTGTAGCCCTTAAAGTGGACATGATGACTATGTAGGCTTGAAACAGGTAGGACTGGACTATGTAGCGCTTGAAACTGACATGACTATGTAGTCCTTTACTTATCATACAATTTAAACATGGCACATATTTTTGTTGCCATAAATAAAAATGAGGATACTTATAATATCCAGTGGTAAACGTAAATGAGCCTCAAGTGAAGGGCACCATTGATTAGCATCATGACAGATGTTAAGAGTATAAAACATGCAAAAAAGAAAAACACTAATTTTTTAATGGTTTAAAATGAACAGATTCAACACAACTAAGCATTCACTAACCACAAGTTAAAAAATATTCTCAGATGAAATAAAGCTAAATTTTTAATGTTCACAAGTTACATCTGACTGAACTCTAAAAAATCATATTAAAATAGTCATGTTAAAATAAGTTAACCACTGTATCTAATCTTTTCCAGTTTGTGTGCAGGACATATTGGGCAGATACAGTAGAGTTTATGTTTTCAGGACCCTGGCATACAGAGGGATGGTGTAGTCAGCACTAAGCCAAGCCGCCTTTGTTTCCTTAACTTGAGTCAGGTACCCATTAGAGCTGGGTGAACTCTAGGTCATTCTACAGAATTGAGACCAGGAACCAAACTCATGACTTTCTGATTAGCAGTCAAGAGCTCTACCACTCAACTACCCAGTCAATTCAATTTTTATAGCAGTAAGCTTTTATAAGTCAAAGCAAGGTTAAATGACAAGAGTTGAAGACAGAATTTGTAAGAACTTAATCTAACGACCACTAACATAGATAAATTGCAGCAGTCAATAGTAGGATAACTCTTGTGTCCCACTAGCTACCCATATCTAAATAACCATATGTGATCATCCTAAATGTTAGCTGACGGATATTTTAAATTCTAGTTCTTGTGACTAGAAAATCTTGCCCTTACATAACACAGAATAAATGATTGTGTAATCATTGCATATTTTTAACCATACATTTCTCCCACTGTGTGGAATGTTATGAGTTGCCATCTCAGAAGCAGACAGAATACACACATTTACATATTACATGCCATATTTTTTAAAAATGATATTCAATTATTAAGCACTATATAAAGGTATAATAATTAGGGTGTCTGTTTGAGGCAAAAGGGTATGTGATTGATACATATTAGTTTTATAAAAGAAAACTATTCCCCCCTCCAACCCCAAATGGGACAAGCCCATGTAATACAAGGGTGAAGCTGCTATAAGGATTCGGAATTAAATAAAAAATGTAGAAAAAAACTATGAAGGTGAAGGATACACCAGGTCGTAGTTTAAAATTACAGGAGATTAATGATTTATAACTCAAATATAAATTTTGCTAAAACACCTACTAGTTCTATTGACAATAGAGTCACACAAGGCCCTGTATTCGACTATAATATAGAAATTTGCTGCTTTTAAACAACAGGGTATTTTATCAACCACAAATAACATGTCAGCACAAAAATAAGTGTTCTGACAAATATTTCCCAAAACACCCTAAAGTGTTAAAAAACAACAATGTATTCCAATTTACCAATGACACAAAGATAAAAAAAACCAAAGACAAGCTTGTGATTGTCAAGTCAAGCAAGCGTACAGTGACTCACCTGCATGAGGTCTTTCTTCTCCTTCTCCCCATGAGACATTTCAGTCTGCAGCTGGCGGATCTCAGATAATATCCTTTGAGCTTCCTCCAGGCTATAGCCACCTGATATAGACTCCAGCTTCTGACCAACACTGGAACCAAAGACAGGGAAAATAAAAACTACACCAAACAACATTTTTCTAAAACTATTTACATTTAGTTTTTCCCCCATGAAGTTAATTTTTCAATTTTAGCAGAAATAGCTTTATAAGCATCTTTTCACTGATCTTCTTCGAATAGACACAAACCTAATAAATAAATTATTAAGTTTTTTTTTTGCGAGTATTGCTGTTGAGATAAGAGTTCTAGCTTTGATAAACCCAACCGGTTTTGATAAAAATACAATTCCATTATATTGGCTTTAGTGGTCTGATTTAAGATCAGGCACATCTAGCTACGAAATAAAACTAACTGACTTTTTAAGATGTTTGGATGATGGGTACTCACGTTGAAAGAGTCTCCACACCTCTCTCCTTGTATGCCATTTCTGTACCTATCTGCTCTAGCTCTCTCTTCAACCTCGCCACCCGACTCTTAGCCAAATTCACATCTTGTTTTAAAAGGTCAGGGTCATACTTTGTGCTGCCGACGCTTGAATTTGAATTCACTGAAATTGGTTAGAAAATTAAAAAAAATAAATAATTCACAGCCATTGTTATAATACATGCACTAAGAATGGCAATGAGAAAACTGAAAGTACAGAACTTACAGCTAGTCCTTGAAGACTTCCACCCTGACAAGGTATCATTCAAATGTTGGAACTCATCCTGGGCCAACATAAGGCGCTGCTCTTTGATTGAATAGATTTCTTTTTTTGCCTGATAAAAAAAAAAAATTAAATATTTAAACAAATGCATTTATTAGTGTAAATTTTTTTATATATAGTAATGTCAGATTATTTTTGTTCTAAACATCACTTATTCACCTCCAAATCTTCTTGCGCAGTAACAAGATACTCTTTGAGCATATGTTCTTGTTCTTGCCTCCATTGTACTCGAGGATCTTCAAGCTGGTTTGATTCTGTTCAAAACAAAATTTATACAGTCATAGAAACACAATAAGAAACAAGGATCATACAAGAATGTTATCAACATAATACAAGCAATTTAACCTACCAACCAAAAACTTCACACAATATAGCATTTTATTACAGAAAACATGAGTCTTTTAATTCAAATAGAAACAAAATGACACTTACGGTTTATATGGTTTATGTAATAAATGCCAACATTAGGATCACAAGCTTCCTCCCATCCTAGGGGTAACTCATCCCCTACACAATCAGCAAATGTCTGGGGTTTCGTATACCTGTTAAAATTTTTAAAAATTTATTTGAATTAAAACATAAAGTTATAATTAGCTCAATTAACATTACATCATTTTAAAAATATGATGCACTGTCAAAGCTTTTATCAGTGTTTATCTATTGCTACTTCAGAATTATTTTTAAAACAATTTGATTGCTATTATTGTCTGGATTATTAAAACAAATTTTAATGTCAACACCAAATTCCAAAACGAATAACTGATAAACATACTAAGATAAGATCAAAAGACATAGTAGTTATAGATAAATATGGGCCAATTGAATTCCCACAGTTACTAATCAGTTTGAAGTATTTTATGGGTCATAGGTTAAAGATGAATCAATTGCTGAAAGAATGTCATGGTGCACTATCAATTAAATTTCTGATACAGATATGTAATGTCTGTATGTGAGAAGGCAACGAAAAATAAACATAAAATGAATAAATTTACAAAAGTTTATATCATTATTTTTTTAAAGTCTGATTAAATCTCTTAAAGCTAAAGATGTAAACAATCTTCTTCTTCTTAATCCGTTCGTGCCCAAGACACATGGGGCAGATAAAGTAGAGTTCATCTGATTCACTGACCTTGGCATATAAAGGGATAACCTATTAGTTAAGACCAGGGCTATAAATATAATTTACTTCCAACCATCCTTTCTTCCTATCCTTTTTAAGAAGATTCCATTTTCATGACATTAGATTTTTATTGATGGTATAGGCATAATAGGCTATTAATAGGCCTATATTATAGATAGATCTACACACATTTTGGCTAGTATTTAAATCTAGTTTTTGTTGTTTTAAAAGAAGATCCAGCGTAGAATAGTTAACTATACTTATTACTAAACAAAATATTACCATAGTAACATTCAATAGGGCAGGGGCGTAGCGAGGGGGGGGGCGGGGGTGCGGACCGCACCGGGTGACACCATTTAGGGGGGTGACACCAAGGCAAAAAATAGCAAAATATATAGAGAAAAACTCGAGGGGGGGGGGGGGGGTGTGCAAATCGAAAGTTTGAGGGGGGGGGGGGTGCAAATCGAAAATTTGAAAGTTTGTCCCTGGGAAGGGTCTCTATGCCTCTGGGGGGGGGGGGGGGTGACACCATTAAGTGCCGCACCGGGTGACACCCGACCTCGCTACGCCACTGCAATAGGGCTATTCTTTAATTATCTTTTATACTTATAGTGTATGTCAGGTAGGTAGTCTACTAGATCTAGCTCTTAATCTAGAGCTAGATCTAGATTTAGGTCCTAGACTCTAGACTAGATGAGTGTATATAGTAGGGAGGCTCACTAACTTAAAAGCGTCCTTCGTTGCTAACCAGAACATGGCGTAAGGATCGGACCATGACTTCCGGCGAGTTTTTCGACTTAGTTCCAGAGACCTTCTTAGAATTACTTTTAAAAATGTTTATCACGAGTAAAATGGCGGGTTTTCACGTTATAAAAACATGCTATAGGTGGCAAGGTTAAATATGCCAGAAAAGCATTTTCAGAAATTGCTTTGGGGAATGTAGGCTAAATTTAAAGTCGGTGTCATTCAAAATAATTTAACTTTTTAAATATAGATCTCCCTCTCACAAAATTGATTTCCATAGTAAAGCATTATTAGTTTTATCATTCTATGAAAAAATAAATCAAATATCTTCAACCGTTTTTTTATAAGATCGACCGAGAAATGACAACCACATTTTTTTTATTTTTTTTGACCACGTGACCGCTATTTGAATGGATACGTTTACCTGGCATGGTTTTTTATTTTGCTCTTTTGTACAATAAAAAATGTCATAAAATTAAAGAAATAAAAGAATTCAAACATCACTTCTGTCTTTTCTTTTTTTAAATTCTTTTCTGATGACATTCTCTTAAATTTTTTTCCTCTAAAAATATTACCCGACGATAGACGGGCCAATTCTACTTTTAGGAACTCTCTTGTGAAAAAAAATTAGATCTATTTCACGGTCACTTAAAAAGTTAAACCTTTCAACTTTTAACCAGGTTGTCATGGATGATCCGTCATATCATAGCTGTGAGTGACAAATAAATTTAAAATTCAATAATTTAGTCTAAACTCGCTACAACCCCCAAATTTAGTGCCTAGAGGATAAAGTATGGACGTTTTTTATTCAGTTGTCATGTTTAAATTGAGAATTAAGTAGATTTCACAAATAGTAAGAAAAACTAGTATATAGACTCATAGAGTAATATAGAGACATTAAATTTAATCATGACATGGAGCAGAGAACCAATAGACTCAGAAATAGATTCACCATGTGAGAAAAGTAATGCATTCTTTAACTTTAAACTTAGATCTATAAAATACTGAGTACAGAGGCTACTGATTGATTCTGTTGATTCCCCCCCCCCCCCCCTTTTTTTTTCTTCAGAACACACGTTGTTGCTAAAAAAAGACAGAAGGCTCAGTCGGTAGCAGTGTTAGATCTAGAATCTTAATAGTGTACTCAATTAACAAGATCTAATAATAATGGTACCACTTAAAGACGGAACTACTAGACTAGATCTAACACTACATAAGTAATTTTCAGTAACACAGTAACATAACAGCAGATGCACATTCATTTCTGCATTCAATACATTCTCAGCATCTGGTCAGACAGTTATCCACCGCAGTTGTTAACTATTTTTACCTGTCACGAGGGTCAATCCATGTCGTTCTTCGGTTAATATGATCAATGAAGAAGCTTTTTCCATCGTAATCAACCGCTTTTTCCCATCCCTCGGGCAGGGGAAGGTCCCCGTTTCCTCTTTCTGGCATATTTCATCTAAACTTTTTAGTTTAAGACACTCTCACACATATCTGTCCTCCATATTGCTTGGTACTTATTAACATATGTGACGTCACGTGACCTAGGTCAACCAATGAGATGTGTTTCTCCAACCTATTCTCAAAGATTGGCATGCATACCTAAACAGCAAAACATTCGGAGGAATAGAAGGCAAAATAATATACTTGGCATGCTACCCCTCGCTCTTCGCAAGGTCGGATTGAATGAAACAACACGGTCTGGGAATGTTTGCACTATCATTGCTATCTTTAACGAGACTCTAAACATTTATTGCATTTAAATACTTTTGCAAAACAAACTAACAACTAAGCTAGACGTTTTAAAAACTACCGTCAAAATAGTGATAGTAGGCAGACATGCATAATTTAAAAATACTATCTTTAATAAACTTTAATTAGTAAACAAACAGCAAAAGCTACACCTGTACGTTTTTATCCCAACCAATCACAAGAGGTGTTTATTTATTATTTTTATTGTTGGAGAACTTAACTGAGGAATGAGGAATGCAGCTAGGAAAGAAAGAGAAGAAATGGGGGTGGGGGTGGGGGGGGGGGGGGGGGTGGAGTCGCATGAAAAACGTCATATATGTAACCACAAAAAACAAACAACGGAATGACAAAAGCCTGTTTAAGATGTGTAATTGAATTGCTAAAGTAGTCTATATTATAAGTTTAGTAAGCAAACAATTAGCCAAGGCTTAAAGGCGGATATATTGGGTTTCCAAGACCTACCCCAAAAATATATATCATACATTTCATTATATATTTGCAATCAGTGGCGTCACTAGGTCAGGTTTCACTCGGACTGACAACACGGGTTGTCACCCCAGGTACAAAGATACTTACACACACACACACACTCACACACACATCTGGGGCAAAACGATGCAGTTAATTGCTAGAAGCGGATTTAAAAAAAAAATTAGTACATTTATAACAAATTATTCCACAAATGACGTACCGTTACGCTTTTGTTTGACGATTTCTACCTCCGCCCTCCCCTCCGTCACACATCGTCACTAAAAGCAAGACCCCCCCCCCCCCAAATAAATGACTACAACCCCCCCAAACCCCTCGAAATTGCTGTTGAATTTTTTTCAAAACATCGATTTATGAACGACCCATTTTCTCTGTAAACATTCAGTTGATGTGCAGCTTCCCCCTGTTGTAAAATGGTGTCAAACTGTACACAATGAGTAATGATGTTGTGTTATCTATAAATAGTCATCCAGCTTGACGCTGCATTGCTTCCTCTGTGGCATGAACCCGTTTTGTCTTGTAACAATATCAACCCACTGCCCCCCCCCCCCCCACTTGTCTTGATGGTGTATTTTACATCAACTCATTTATTAGTTTAACAGATTAAAATAATTGTTTTACGATGCTTCACCTAGACGTCACCACCTCCATATATATATATATATATATATATATATATATATATATATATATATATATATATATATATATATATATATATGCCCTAAATAAATAAATAAATACATAAATAAATAAATAAATAATTAAATAAAATAAATAGATAAATGAATGAATGAATGAATGAATGAATGAATGAATGAATGAATGAATGAATGAATGAATGAATGAATGAATGAATGAATGAATGAATGAATAAATAAATAAATAAATAAATATGTATGTATGTATGTATGTATGTATATATATATATATATATATATATATATATATATATATATATATATATATATATATATATATATATATATATATATGCCTTGATCTAGAGCGCCATCCCTATCCAACTGAAAGGTTAGATCCGCATATGGGCTTTGAAACAATTCATAACAAAGCGAGCAGATACTATTAAGTCAGGGGTCGGCAACCTTTTGAAGCGGAAGAGCCAAAAGTTACAATTTTACAAATTTCCCTGGTTTTAAAGAGCCACTAGCATTTTTTTATTTCAAATATTTTATTTTTTATTAAGATTATTAGTATTTGTGCAAGGAGCTGGAGAGCCGCATCTTGATATAAAAAGAGCCGCATGCGGCTCGCGAGCCGCAGGTTGCCGACCCCTGTATTAAGTCAACATGTATCCAGAGGCGTAGCAAAGGGAGGGCGGGTTGTCCCGGGCGTGGACACTAGGGTGCGCCAAACAGGGTGGGGGAAAATGAAATTATTCAGAGCTGCATTTCTGAATTATACACTGTCGAAGTTAAGAATATAGATTGTTACAGTTTTATGGGCTTATTTAACTGTTTTCTACGTCAGTTTTGCAACACCGGAATAAAGATTATAATGGGATAGTGACGTGTACATTACAATGCGTAAATAGGGGGGGGGGGGGGAATTAGTAGTTTCTTCTTGAGCAGTAACAAGGGAATCTTTGCGCATATGTTCTTGTTCTTGCTCTTGAGCCAAAGAATAAATAACTGAATTATTTATGTATGCATGTTTTATATATATATATATATATATATATATATATATATATATATATATATAAACCTATGGAACGGAGTAGCATAGAAGTAGGCTATACAGCTTATACAGAGGCCTACATATACAGGTACGTTCAAAGTACATACAACACTATAACACCATTACTTTGTTAGTCTTTCTTTAGCAGGAGTCTTCGTGCTTTTGTTTTCTTAAAAATATGTTTACACAATATAAAGAGCTAGATCTAGCCTACAACTTGAACATCTGTAAGTCGCTATTTTTGTCAGTTTACTGAGAGTAGATAGCGGGTAATTGTTCTGAAAATACGATGAATTTCATCGATCGATCCATTTGTTTGGCATTGTTTCGCTTTAGTCTGCATACCTAAGAAGTCATTAGCTCAACTGGAGCACAACGGAATTTTTCTTTGTCTGTAGGCATTGGCGGATCTAAGGCGACGCAAAGGGGTGCATAGCCCCTCCTCAAATTTTTTTGTTGTAAAATACCTAGGTAGTTATTATTATTATTATTATTATATATATATAGACCTATATATGTGTTGTGTATGCATACATACATATGTAAATATGTAAGCAGGGTGCCATATGACACTCAGAGTTCCCGATTGGCTATCTTAGCATCTGGGATCTGTTGATTGGACGACCTGCATATGGAGACAGGGGTAGCCCCCCCCCCCCTACTACTTGAATCAACGACCAAACGCTGGAGGTCGAGTGACCAAGTACGCTCCGGTCTCCTCGGTGAGCACTATGGAGCATACCTTCGTTTTAAAGAGCACCCTACTTTAGGGACGCGGTGGCACTGACCACTCAATGGCTAAATTGAACAAGAGAACGCACCTCCGCCAGTGTAACCGATGGCTCCCGAGAGCACCCTACGACGCCCCTCACACGTCGAGGTGTGTTTTACCACACTGTCACGGAGAGTGATTTACAGCTCGACGGGGTTGAAGTGTGGGCAAACCCGCGCCCCAACAACTATGATCCAAGAAATATAACGCCGGCTTTGTTTACATTTAAATAGCTCATTCATTGAAAAGAGGATCAAACATCTCAAAACACATCATTATTAACGCGTCGGTGAAACCCTTAAAATGTTACGTCAGTAGGTGTAGCAGGTATGTTAGCATATATATATATATATATATATATATATATATATATATATATATATATATATATATATATATATATATATATATAAATGTGTGTGTGAGTGTGTGTATGGTAAGAACATGAACGACCCAAAAACAAAAGCTAAAGCCGCCTATGTCTGTAGAATTGTTTGGATAGGATCAGGGGAGGGGGGGGGAAAGAAAGACATTTATAACTTTTAAAAATCGATTAACCAAATATCTCCGAGCTAGTAATACACGTATCTCCTTTATTACGAGTTGATTGGTTGTGGCACCTGTATATTCGACTGTCTTTGTGTGGCTATTTGCTGGCTTCCACCGGTAGCGAGAGGGGGGGGGGGGGGGAGATGGGTAGGGGTCGGGGTATATGCTGGAATCCCAACAGTACAAAAAAAAATTTGCCCGTAAGATTAAGGACATTACATACCAGAGTGACAAATACTTTTGGAATAGTTGGACCGGCGGCCTAAATAGAGGCAGTAACATTTTTGTAAGGAGCTCTCGAGTGCTTGGAAATTAAAATTGATTATAGTTTGTAATATAAAACGAATTGAACACTGAATTAGTTTTTAATTTTTAGTACAAAATGAATGTATTACTAAGCTTTACTGGTATTATTGTAATTACTATCGTTCTTGTGGAGCTGATTTTTTTCCATTTTTCTCCGGGGGTAGGGGTGGTTGTGTGTGTGTGTGTGTGTGTGTGTGTGTGTGTGTGTGTGTGGTGGAGAGGGGTTGCCGTTGGGGGTGGGGTAGTGGGTGGAAGGGGAATATTAGCAAACTTCGGAGTGGGGGGTGGGTGGAAGGGGACCTTTTGTAAATTCCGGGGTGTGGGTGGTGGGGTGAGGGGTAAATGTGTTCGGCGTGGTAGCTGGCGAAAATATTCAATCATAACATTGTTAGAGGCCAAAACGTTTATCATGGTTTTTTTTTTTACATGTTTCTTTAGAATCGATTATATTATTAAGGTAGATTGGAGTGAAAATAGATGATGGTGCTTATTAATTAACATGTATTTAGCCCAACTAAATCGATGAAGATCGAAGTGCAAACACAGCGTTCAGGAGTCATAGTGCCAGAGTTTCTTTCAGTATTTGATTTCCTAGGGAGGGGGGGGGAGGCATACTTAAAACCTACGGAGGGGGGGGGGCATAGGGTGGGGTAGACGGTCGACGTGCTAAAAACTATTAAAATACAAATTAATTGGTAATTCAGAAAATTTATTGTAATGTAAAATCAGGCAATTTTGGACATATTAAGTTTGTGGTGCATTTCTTTTTTGGTGTATTTCTATTTGTGGTGTAGTTCTATTTGTGGTGTAGTTCTATTTGTGTTGTGGTTCTATCTGTGTTATGGTTGTATTTGTGTTGTGGTTCTATTGGTGTTGTGATTCTATTTATAATGTAGTTCTATTTGTGCTGTACTTCTGTTTGTTATGTAGTTTTACTGATACCCCAAATACCGCTAGAATTTAACAGTACATATGAGAAAGCTTG